TTATGCTGTTGTAAAGAAAAACATATACCTAAAATGTGTTTAACACTAGAAACCTTTATGTTTTCTGTGCACTCTGGCCAGGATGCTGCTACAGCATTATGTTATGTTAATCAGTATCTTCTAAACCCTGTAGTATTTCTACACACTGAAGTTAGGGTCTGTAATTTAGTTGTAATTTGCATATATAAATTAAAACTTTACAAACTTTCTTCCAACTATGATTAATCATATAGTATAGAGAAATATTCAAATTCAGGATCCCATGGGATATATTACTTAGGTTTGAGTAAGAAAAAATAAACAGTAATTTGATAAGTATGGGTCCAGATCCAGTGTAAGACAGGCTAAGGTGATCACAGGTTTGAAAGTTTTACAATAATATCTGAGATACTGGTAGGAAAGTTTGGTTTTGGCTACCATTGTGTTGTTATATTGCTGTTCCACATCTTCACCATGCATTCCATGACGTCCCTAAGTCTTTACAATCATCATTTACCTTAACTGTTCCATCAACCTGTCATTTCATCATTGCTGTTCCATCACTCCATTATTGTATCATCCTGCTGTTCCATTTCCCAGCAGCACTTCATCACTTAACCATTTCATCTTTCTGCCGTTCTATCACTCCAGTTTCATCACCCAGCTTTTCTTCACTGCTGTTCTAATATGCAGTTTTTTTTTCAACATCTTCCATTCCATCACTCTGCCGTTTCATCACTTTGCCATTGCCTCATTCCCATTTCTTCTCTTTGCCATTTCATCACATTTGCATTTCATCACTCTACTGTTCCATCACTCTGCCATTCCATCACTATGCCATTTCTTTGCTCCACTGTTTCATCACATTTGCATTTCATCACTCTACAGTTCTATTACTCTACTGTTTCATCACTGCTGTTCATTCACTCTACCGTTCCATCACTCTGCCGTTCCATCACTGCCATTTCATCACTCTGCCATTCCATCACTGTATTTTTCCCGATTTTCATAACAGATTTTCATAACAGATTTTCATAACATTGATGTTTCATAACCATTACAACATGATATTGCTTATAACCATTACATCATGTTGTTACTGATGATTCTATAGGTTGCGTTACAGAATCCAGTTTACTAGAACTTGATCATAGTTTGAGTAGAACAGCTCGTCACACTGTTTTTATTGATTTCTTGTTACCATTTTATGTTATTATCAAAATTCAGGTCCAAATATATTGCTAAATCAAATCTGTATTTTTCAAAAAAAAAAGTGCATTTATAGTGAACATTTTTTCCAGTTTTAGTCTGTACAACGTAGTTCCTTTTTTAGCATATCACTGATCATGCGAGAATACACTGATGTGATCTTTCAGTAGCAGAATTTAAATGTAGAAATGTCGATGTTAAATGTAGAATATATCAAGCAATCTGCTTCATGCTTCCTGTATGTGTATAATCTTTGACATAGGCTATGTGACAGCACTAATATTAAATCACTGACTTTAAGGGTGTATGCAACCTGAATCATTAAAGCTGAGGTTTGGTAAGGGTTTCACTTTTATAAATGAACTTAAAAGAAAAGTTTTAAGTTCTGTACTTGAATCTTTGATTTTTCAAATATCTATCAATTTATGCTTGTTACTCATTCAAATGATGACGATTTCTAAAAGTTAGTTCACGTTTTTTCTTGATCTGTAAATCTGGATAAAGTAGAAAAGCATGATTTTAGAGTTTTAGTAAAACTGCAGTGTACCACAGTTTTTTTAAAAATGAAATGGCTGAATAGGACAGCCATTTTGTCTGTGAATTATAAATATGTTCTCTGTGTTTGAATCAGACCACATTTGGTGAGGTAAGGTTTTGACACGTCTCTTAAATACTACCATCATATTTAGTGTCCACATTTTACCTATGTGCCAGATGTTTTTACTTTTTTATTAGTGAAACAGCATGGTTACATTATGTGGTAGATTCACGTGTATTGAGTTGAACATGCAGTAGTTTTTACATGGTTAAGATCATGTTAAAATAAAAGTGATCACTTCTATGATGCAATGGCTGAGTCGAATAGCGACCTTCTGTATTTTGGAAAACTCATTTTTTCATGGTAAACAATTTACGTTTTGAAATCAAATAGAAAAAAAACATACAGTTAGCACAGAAAATGTTTCAACATTCTTATCATGTATGACTCTGCCTGGTGACACCTGATCCTCGCAAACCCATCACCAAAATCACGATAAGTATTGTCTGTTGTTATCATAATTTATCCATTTTCTAATTTGTTTAGAATCATCATAGACATTTCTTACTTTATCTCTAGCTATTTTGTTGCACATGTTATAAATATGAATTGTAGTTAGTGGTGGCATAGACACTGTTTTTGTGAAGAATTTTGAGAACATTATTCATTAATTATTTCTGCCATGTTATGTAGATGTTAGATAGAATCATCTCACATTCAATATATAAACTTTAAATGTGTAGAAGTAAAACTGTACATTGCATGTCCGTGGTGATGTTCTTGTCGACTCATGTATGTCTAGCTTTGTCATACTGTAGAATCAATCATTTTTGTCAGGATTTATTTTCGTTTAGTCAGTTAAGGTTAGTTGCCTGGATTGTTGGACATTACTAATGGTTTTTTGTAATCATGATTATGTATATTTTACGTAGATTTAGGAAAACTAGGAAATTTGAGTCATACAAAGATTTGTGAATTTCAAATAGAAAAGATATGTGAATTTCATATATATATATATATATATATATATATATATATATATATATATAATAATGAAAAGAAAAAAAATATATCTTTTTTTCCAGATGAAATAAGTCACTAATTATCTACTAAAGACTCGTCTTTTGTCAGGTTGAATTTTATTTCTCTATAGAATATTCTTAAGACTTTTTCAGGAATCATATTTTTTGCCAGCAAATATGTTCAGCTCATGATCTTCACATTCCATATTTAGTATTATTATTATTTCAGTATATTAAATTTTGTAAGTCTAGTGTTATGTTGATGATTAATCTGAGATGTAAAGTTAAAAAGCTTAGGGTATGAGGAGGGTTTTGAAAATACAACAACAACAGTACAAAAACATGAGTGAAAAATTGGGTTGATTGTTGTGGGTGTCTCTTAATGTATTTTATTGATGAATAATTCAGACACAAGTTAATGGTAGTTAAATCTCTTGCATGTTCTATATTTCCAGCAATAAGCCCATCCAATTTGTGATTTTGTTTAGCAGCCATATAAATAGACAGGCTTATTTATGGAAATGGGCTTACTGTTGGATAAACACTCGTAGTCTGTTATGTAGTACCTGTAGTGACTTAGCTGATTAGTGATCTAGAATTTTAGACAGATTTTTTTATATACATTTGTCACTTTATCATCTTATGATTAATTAACCTTTAACCTTTAAACTGATAACAACATGAATGTGGATTAAAATGGAGAACACTGCAGCTTTATTGTAATGCTGAATTTCCATAATGACATCTTAAACAAAGCTCTCACCTGTCTCGTACAAACATGTGTGCATTCTATACCAATCGCTCGGGTGTGGCATTCATGGTCAGATAATACTACTTGGATGCTGCGATTGAAAGCCCACAAAAATTCAGCATTTCAATTAATCTGCATGTGATTATGTTGTGTTTCAGGTAAGAGGTAGGAGATAATTTATTTACCTTTATGTATATGTATGAGATGTGGAAAATTCTACCCTGAGATGTAGAGCTTGATGCTGTAATCTACAGTCATGAGAATGCAACACCTGTATCTCACGTACTTATATACAGAACAACATAGATTGTAATTTAACAAACCAAATACATCATATCCTTATAAATAATTATTAGAATAAATACTATATTGCTTTAAATGTAGTGAAAGGCAATCCATTTAGTGTTATGTAAAATCTAGCTCAAATATCAGTAAGTAATTGTCACAACTAAATTAATCTATATGTTATTACTAACATTACAGCTAATAGCATTGAATTTGAAGTTCAACACAAGTAATAACTGTCTAGATTTGTAGAAACAGACCTGTCAAAGGCTACAGATGGCACCATTTAGTAAGATAAATGGCAGTTTTGACTGTCATGGCCTTCAGAAATCACAAACCAGAAGTTTACAAATGAAACTTACAACCCATTTAAGGAAAAACTCCAACATTTTACACATGTCTTAATCTCCCCACAGATATTGAAATGTATTCAAACTATATATTTTCATGAAGTCAAATAAATGCAGATTTCTATTATCTGTCACCAGTTATAAATGAAACCTCCAAAGGGCACAATCTTTTACCAAATCTCAATTTAATTAGGGACTCAAAGAAGATGAATCAGAATTCAAGTCGCTCATTGGCTGATTTAGTTACTTGAGCCCTACAATCAAGTGATCAGTATATTTTAAGAAATTAATATTTCATAAGTGACACTCTATCCAGTCTTGATTAATAGGAAATAAAATGTTTACACTGTATCAGAATAGCTAGGAAATTAAAAGATACACACAAGCACTATGATATAGCGATGTAAAATGGAAATATTTGTAAAGAACTAATCTTACACGTGAATATATAACTACTATATAATGTCCTGTTGCCGTGGTGACCTTCACATTGAATATTTCATTGATCAACTTGCTGGGCTTATTTTTTGTGTTTTCCCATCCACTTTTAGCACAGGTGTATCAACACAATTTAAAAAATATCATACCTTAATTTTGACTCTTAGTAAATTATATATCTAGCTGTGCTCCCAATATGAATATTGTCTTAATTCAGAATGATAAGCAAACGTCAGAAGGTCATTTCAGACTGACTTAATCTGTTCTTCAAATGTGCAATATGATTTTTAATGATAAGATACAGATATATAAAGTACTGTTGTTGTTTCTAGGTGTCAGACCAGTAATTCTGATGTCTGTTTACAGTAAATGGAACACAGTGAAGGTATTAGACTTCTGTATTAATTGTTACTGTAATTTCTTTATAGGGTATCAAAACATGCTTTGAAGAAACTCAATGAAATATTTGATGAGACTGCTTTCCTGAAAGGTTACGACCTTGTCAACGTCCTGAAGGTCAGTTGATCATAACATTTTCTGTCGCCTGCTATCAGGTAGTATTCTCTTGTGTACCGAGGCATCCTCCAAACAGTAAGACACCTCACACCTTTCCAGTACAGCAAACGAGTGATAAGCATAAGTTGATATAACTTTTTTAAAAAATGCCTTTATATAAGTATAATTTCTCTTTAAAAATCATTGATTTTCATGTTAGATTTCATTTCATTGATTTCTCAGAATCCCAAAATTCATATGTCTATGGACTATTAAAATAAGTGTATGTAGATTTATTGAGCTAAATTTATACATAAAATTCAATGTCTATAAAATAGATGAGTCCCACGCAAATATATGATTTTACATCACAAGTTTTGAAATTCAGCATTTTCTGTTCTTCTATCTATCACCATAGGGTAGGTCTGATTTGAAAGTTCTGTCCATTATGAATGTCATGACATGGCAATTAAATGCTTTTATTTACATTCACTTTACATATCACTGTCATATATTGATATTGATTATAGACTTAAACAAATGATGTGATCTGTTAAAGAAACCAACAATTATAACAGTTGTCTTTTCCATACCTACAATAGTGATCTAATGATGAAGTACTGGACAACATTGCTCATACCTTAAGTCACAGTTCTTTCTTGATATGTTGTACATAAGACATTGCCATTTAAATGTACACCAGATGAAGATAATGTGGAACAACTAATTGGATGGCAAGTTGCATATCTATGCCTACCTGCAGTAATGATGTATATTCAGGTGCTGGGATGGTAATTGTATTTATCTTTCTGGTTAGTTTACTTTGATGAATTGCTGTGTAAATATAAACATAAACCAATGAAGATTTCTTACCTGTGTTCTAGGATTTATCCCATTATCAGTATGATGAGATGGTGCGTACGTCTATGCATCTCCTTAACAGATTCTACTCCGCCCACAACAACCTCTTTAACAGGGCAGTGCAGGCACAGGTAAGAACTCTTAATAACCTTTTGTTACCTTTTATCACCTTAGAAATGGATTAAATGAGGAAAAATAAAACATGGTCAGTATTGAGTTGAAGTGAAATTATCAGAATTTAAAAATTTTCTCCAATTTATTACAGAAAACTTGGTATTGTGTTTAAAGTTTTCAGATATTGAATTGTAACACAAATTATTTACGATATCTGTATAAAACTTTTCACCCTGTTTACTGCTGTGTCCAGAAGTGACTATAAACCAGTTATATCAAATTTTATGATTTTTGTATGTAAGTTTTCACCCTCTGTACTGCTGTGTCTAGGTGTGACTGTAAATCAGTTATATTTACGATATCTGTATGTAAGTTTTCACCCCGTTTACTGCTGTGTCTAGGTGTGCATCACCGATAGCTCCACAACTGTGTACAAGGAACTGGAGAATATTCTACCCAAGATGCGTCGGTACTCTACAGCCAAACTTAGTGATGAGCAAACGCTTGAGTTGTGTGGTATCCTGGATCGCCTTAACAAGTAAGTCACATTTTGTATATAGGTCGCTGTAACCTATTTATAGCCAAGTATTTAGAGTATTGGCTTTGATGATGTCTCCCCTGATTTAAAGGAACTTGTGTCAGTCTATCTATCAGAGTTCTTGTTTCAGCCTTCAAAGAGTAATTTATGCTTGTCCAGCTACTAGAATCTTGTCAAAGCCTTTACGCTAAGATATCTTAGTGAAACTTTACAAAAAATATTATTTTTTTCCAGGTGGTGTCACCTTAGATGCTTTGATTTGCATCCCTTAGATTATAATAGAAGTAAATGAGCAATGTGGAGTACCAATTCAGACAAGCACCTTGTTCTTGACATCGTTCATAATATTCAAATTTCAAAATCAAATGCACATGTTCATCTACAGAATGATTCATAATTTGAGTAGAATCCAACTGTCAAATGCTTACTACAGGATAATCACAGAATCTGTCTAAAATCTATTAATGTTTGAATGTTCTGTAATGTTACAGATGTGTTCTCAGTGTTAACTGTGTTATTTTCAGAATGTGCCATCTTGAAAATGAGCCTGAAGAGCCTCATGGCATGAACCAGTCCATTCTCTACAATCATGGAGTACTGGAGGATGCCTTTACTATCCTTACTCAGGAGATAGATGTTAAACTTCTGGTACGCTTATACAACCTTGTCCATATTTAATCTGATGTCTGTTAGCCTGTACCATTTCCCCAGTTAATAATTAACATACTTTGTCTTTCCAACTTCTGGTACGCTTACACAACCTTGTCCATATTTAATCTGATGTCTGTTAGACTGTACCATTTCCCCAGTTGATGATTAACATACTTTGTCTTTCCTTATCATTTGTTCCTTAACACAGTTTAGATTTAGATATGACCAAACTATCAGAATGACAACCAATCTTTGTATGTTATGTTTTGATTGATGTTTTCAGGAAGCCAACCATAACATCTGACTCACAGTCAGGTGGTGGTCTTATTACAGGTGAATTAGAACAGATAGCCAACGTATAACCTATGACTCAAAGTCAGGGGGTGGGCTTATTACAGGTGAATTAGCCCAGATATCCAATGTATAACCTATGACTCAAAGTCAGGGGGTGGGCTTATTACAACACAATAAGCTCAGACAGCCAAAACACAACCTCTTGCTCAAATTCTTGGGGTGGGCTTATTAAAGGACAATAAGCCCACACAGCCAAAACACAACCTTTTGCTCAAAGTCTTGGGATGGGGTTATTAACGGACAGTAAGGCCAGACAACCAAAACATAACCTCTTGCTCAAATTCTTGGAGTGGACTTTTTAATGGACTATAAGGCCAGACAGCCAAAACACAACCTCTTGCTCAAAGTCTTGGGGTGGGCTTATTAAAGTACAATAAGGACAGACAGCCAAAAACACAACCTCTTGCTCAAATTCTTGGAGTGGGCTTTTTAATGGGCAATAAGGCCAGACAGCTAAAACACAACCTCTTGCTCAAAGTCTTGGGGTGGGCTTATTTCATGACATTGAATTATTGTTTGTTGGTGATTCTTATATACAGCCATCAATATAGATAGGCTTATTGCTGGATAATTATGACAATTTCATATTTCCATTATTTATCATCACGTAAATTGAAATAGAATTCTGACATTTTGTAATATCAGTAAAGATTCTGTAATTTTACTACTGTATATGTCTGTCAGGCTCTCTCTTATCATATACTGTCAACCAATATTGCATTTATGTGAACATTTTTTTGTTTTTTTCATTGTGAATCTTATTATTATGTTTGCTTTACAACATTTAGTGTAGTGGTGTAGAGATGTGTTTGTGTAAAAAAGACTAAATTGGAGTTAATTTGATTGATAATTTAATATTGATCCTGTTCAATATATAGCTATCTGGTAATGTTAAAGTGCGGGTAAGGTCACACATTTTTTTTTTTTTTTTGTTTTCTTCAAATTCTTGATATTGTAATGTTTGATATGACTTGTTTGAATTAGACAGGAAAACATGTTTCATATTGAGATTTGAGGAAACAATAGTGAGTCTAGTTATTACTTCTGAGAGGGTTTTGACCATGACTTTCACAATTAGTGTTTCTCTAAAATTGGCAAAACATATATACTCATTGAAATTCACTCTCCAGCTGCCTTTATATTTCTGTTATTCATGAACTAAGTACACTGCTATAGATTTAGATAAAATGGAGAACATCAGGGGGTCATCATGACATCATTTTATTATTTCATCATCAGTTTGTAAGAAACTTAGTGTTCTTGCAGGAGTTGAAAAACATTTTAAAACGGATATTTTTTGTGACACACTACCGTCAGAGTTGGTATTTTCTATGAAACATTATCCGTTAGATTTGGTATTTTTTCTGACGGACTATCCGTCAGTTGGTATTTATCGTGACACATTATCCGTTAGATTTGGTATTTTTTTTTGACACTGGTTATTTATAAGAATGCTCGCAACATGAGATATAATATATTTTTCATGCGTTAAGTGGGAAGTGGTAAGATATACTTAGGCATGGCATGGCACGGCACAAACAAAACCTACATCATGGATTCACAAAGATTTAAAGTTCCATGCATACATTTTTAGCATGTTTGAGCCCCAAGAAAAACGTTTTGTACATGTACAGCTTGTGCTAGGTCTGATTAAGTTATTTTGTACTATGGTATATTTTATCTTTTTATGCATTTTACATTTGTCAATGTAGGCCACAAGTGTTGCTCATTTGCAATGTCCAAAAATTTTCAGTTTTTAGATTATAAATTAGTATGTGCATGTCATTGTTATTTCATGTTGTCTAATTTTTTAATGACAAATTTTAACCTTTTATTTTGATGCCCCGCCTCTTTCTGGAGGTGTGTAATGTTATGTATGGCCATCCTTTCCTTCCAATCTAATTTAAAAAATTTGATTCATAGTTCCACACCCTATCATGTTAAGGCAGACTCTATGGTCAATGTTAAAGGGTCAGAGGTCACATTTGACAACTTCTGGAAATTTATCAAACCACGATAATATGATAATATGCATAAGTGTGGGGTTCTCATGTCTTTTTCTGGTTTTCTGAGATATAATTGTGGACAGCTTTCATTATTGATGGGCTGAAATGTCATCTAAAAATGATTTATGCAAGATATACAAAAGTACCTTACAAATAAATAAGTTGTCTTATGACTTCAATTCATATTTACTGTAAAGACATTTCCAAGTTAAAGCACATTAGTTTATAGATTTGAACAGCATTGTGGTTCTCATCTTTTAAAAACCTATTTTTTTTCAGCTGGAGATAATTTTTAGCATGAAGTAGTTAGAGTTTTTAAATTTTTGTTTCATTCTTTGTAATATGTGTTATTGTACGTGAATGATTGTGACATATATCTAAATGGTATCTCTCTGTGTCATACATTATCATTAAGGTTTAACATAATTTTATCAGATTGAGGCAGGGGAGTTGACCAGTTGTATAAATTTAAAATGTGAATTAAAATCTTTTTCAGGTATGTTTAGACATATTACTGTGCATCATTTTGTTTTCATGAATAAATCTACAAGAAATTCTGGAAAGCACATACTATTGATGTGTATTGGTGACTTACAGTCAGGTTTCTATATACCCCTGTGTAAGTATCAATTAGTATTTAACACTGCTGAATTACAGGGGCACCTTTTCATAGAATATTTCATATCACTAATGGCTTTATCTGGTTTTACAGGAACAATACTCAGGACAGAGAAAGATATTCCAGAAAACGTTCACTCTCCTGAAGCTGATGGCCCGTAGTAATAAACTGGTCCAGGGAAGACTGTTTGATCGTTTAGACATGTTGCTGTCCAAAGAAGGGGCGGGGCCAGAATTGGCAGAGGCTTTGACTGAGGTAACATTGCAACCATATTCATACACCTCAAAGTTGTTACAGTAACTAGACCGAGGCTTTCACTTAGGTCCCATGGGGCCTTGCCCGGCAAATAAGCCCAGGCTAACTTGTAAATCTCAGAGTCTAAAAGAGGATATGGATTTGTTGCAGAACATTGTTAAATTTTCCTGCAGAACTGAAAAAAATATGGGTGGGCTTATTACCAATCATTGACTTTTCTTCCAGATTTATAATGCAAGAGTAACTACAGAAATGTATAGTGTTTTCCATTGTGTTAAATTTCCCATTTATGACATTACATGCTTAAGATTTGGATGATAATGTGATAGAGTTAGTATATATAGAGGAGGAGAACTATGTAGGTATTTTTCTGCTTTGACAGGTATTCACAGGTAACTCTAATACCTGTATGAAGATCAGTGGTAACCAGGTAATGAAGGTGATGGGAATTGTTGCTAAACATAGAGAGAATGTGCCACAGTTCCTCGACCTTCTCAATGCCATCGTCAAAGTTGAGGAACTTGACCTGCCATTAAAACGTAACCAGGGCTTTGTCATGCAGTACTTTATGCAGTATAGGTCTGATGTAGCCTTTGTCATTGATCAGGATGAAAATGCAAGGTTAGTATGATGTCTTTTGTGTTTAGGTGTTGATAGATTATATAAGATAGAAACATGTTATTCAGGACTTTTTTTACTGAAAAGGTCAAAGGTTATGAACAAGTAAATATAAGGTTAAGGCTTAGTTAGGTAGAGTAACAGTAATGTGGAAAAATATGTTCTTTCATTAGCAAAATGTTCTGGATTTAAATAAAACAAATTTTGTAAATCTAAATAGGAAAATTCAAGTTTACATTGGAGTGTACAAAAGAAATACACTGAGCTTTAATCAGGATTATTTCAGTCCATTTCAATTATTTCAGTCCACATCAATCCTGATTATTTCAGTCCACATCAATCCTGATTATTTCAGTCCACATCAATCATGATTATTTCAGTCCACATCAATCATGATTATTTCAGTCCACTTCAGTCCTGATTATTTCAGTCCACTTCAGTCCTGATTATTTCAGTCCACATCAGTCATGATTATTTCAGTCCACTTCAATCCTGATTATTTCAGTCCACTTCAGTCCTGATTATTTCAGTCAACATCAATCATGATTATTTCAGTCCACTTCAATCATGATTATTTCAGTCCACTTCAGTCCTGATTGTTTCAGTCCACTTCAATCCTGATTATTTCAGTCCACACCAATCATGATTATTTCAGTCCACTTCACTTATGATTATTTCAGTCCACATCAATCATGATTATTTCAGTCCACTTCAATCATGATTATAAAACAATGACTTAATGATTAATTATGATGTGTATATGTACCATAATACCCTGATGATTACGGGATGCAAGCAAAGAATAATCTAGACAAATTAGGAAATAATTGATGTAATCACAAGCAGATATTGATATAGACAAATTAGGAAATAATTGATGGAAACGCAAGCAGAGATTGATATAGACAAATTAGGAAATAATTGATGGAAACACAAGCAGAGAGTAACCTAGACAAATTAGGAAATAATTGATGTAATCACAAGCAGATATTGATATAGACAAATTAGGAAATAATTGATGGAAACGCAAGCAGAGATTGATATAGACAAATTAGGAAATAATTGATGGAAACGCAAGCAGAGATTGATATAGACAAATTAGGAAATAATTGATGGAAACGCAAGCAGAGATTGATATAGACAAATTAGGAAATAATTGATGTTAACACAAACAGAGATTGATATAGACAAATTAGGAAATAATTGATGGAAACACAAGCAAAGATTGATATAGACAAAATAGGAAATAATTGATGGAAACACAAGCAGAGAGTAACCTAGACAAATTAGGAAATAATTGATGGAAACACAAGCAGAGAGAGATATAGACAAATTAGGAGATAATTGATGGAAACACAAGCAAAGATTGATATAGACAAAATAGGAAATAATTGATGGAAACACAAGCAGAGATTAACCTAGACAAATTAGGAAATAATTGATGGAAACACAAGCAGAGAGAGATATAGACAAATTAGGAAATAATTGATGGAAACACAAGCAAAGATTGATATAGACAAAATAGGAAATAATTGATGGAAACACAAGCAGAGAGAGATATAGACAAAATAGGAAATAATTGATGGAAACACAAGCAAAGATTGATATAGACAAAATAGGAAATAATTGATGGAAACACAAGCAAAGATTGATATAGACAAAATAGGAAATAATTGATGGAAACACAAGCAGAGAGAGATATAGACAAAATAGGAAATAATTGATGGAAACACAAGCAAAGATTGATATAGACAAAATAGGAAATAATTGATGGAAACACAAGCAGAGAGAGATATAGACAAATTAGGAAATAATTGATGGAAACACATGTTAACAACAAGACTTATGGCGCAATTTGTTCCAGGAAAGCTGAAGTGTTAGCAAATTAGATATCATATTGATTTAGTTTGTTTGGCTGTACATAATTCTGTATAGTTTCTGCAAACCATGTTATATCTTTAAACATTACAAGGCTTTATTTATTGAATTACTACTTATAGTCATGAAAAAATTGTTTTCACCTCATTGTTTTATTTGCATGGCAGAGAATTACTTTGAAACTGGCTTGAATTATATCTTAATTTTGATTTGACAGCATGTATTTCTAGTCAATTAATATGAATTAATGAAGAAATTTTCTATAAATTTAACCCCCAGATCTGTATGGTATGTACTAGCAGCATGGTTTGTGATCAGGTGTTTTGTGATAACTGTTACAAGATATTTATTATAGTATGCTTATAACATGTAAAGCAGCAGAAAAAACATGATATTTATGTATTGGCTTTTAATTAGATGTTAACACATGATTTTATAAACTTATTAATACAAGCAACAGTATCAAACAAGATAAAAAAAAGGAATATATTTATATGCTTCAATAGGGATGCGTAATGATTTTGTTTCGTAATGCATTAGATATGGGTACTTTCACAAACATGGCTTAAGGAAATATATCAGTTTGCTTTTTAAGTTTGCTGTTTCTGTGATGAAAACTTAACACTTTTATAAAAAAAAAGACCTTGTTTGTGAAATATGGGTCACTCATTGTGTTATGCTTAAAATCTCACATAAGAAGCTACACTAACAGAACGGTTATGGTGGTGTGGTGGTGGGGGATGGTGTGTTGGTTTGATGTGTGGTGTGGTGTGGTGCAAACTCTGGAAAATATACAATGTTTATGGTAATCTTATTTTGGAAGTTTCATCTTGAACCTTTTATCTCCAATTGTACCTGTGATAAAAGTCTTTGAATATATTGTTAATTCAGTAATTCTTCAGTACTAAATATCATACCTGTAATTAACATTACAAAGTATCTTAGATATCATACCTGTAATTAACATTACAAAGTATCTTAGATATCATACCTGTAATTAACATTACAAAGTATCTTAGATATCATACCTGTAATTAACATTACAAAGTATCTTAGATATCATACCTGTAATTAACATTACAAAGTATCTTAGATATCATACCTGTAATTAACATTACAAAGTATCTTAGATATCATACCTGTAATTAACATTACAAAGTATCTTAGATATCATACCTGTAATTAACATTACAAAGTATCTTAAAGCTGATTTAGTTAAAGAGTTCTTGTTTTTGTAATTTTTTGTTATGTGATGTTTTCTCCTGATACACATGCCTTTCGTCCATCAGTGCCTGTTATTTAACGTCCTACTCCACCTTAAACATCATTCTGTGCTCATTCCTCCCTTTCCGAACCTGCTTCTAATTTGTACTGGCACGTTATAGAGGATCTTTAAAATTTAGATTTTGATTTGATGTACCTCATTTTCGTAACTGGCCAGGTGTTACTTACTGTGTATCCATAATCAAAATTTCTGTAGTACAATGGATTACATCTCTGTTGTCCATGTTTTGTATACATAGTTAATTATACAAGTTCATTGTTTACTTGTGTGCATGCATACATAGTTTTGATATAGATATAACTTCCACCAGGTGGGGGTGAGGGGAGAGGGAGGTTAGAGGTTAGTTTAAGAAGCAATGTCTTAGTTATATCTACTGTAAATATATGTCCTGTTTGAATCATTCTTAACTGTTTCAGTGATATAAAAACTAGATAACATCTTGTTTTAAAGGGAGAAAACTCTGACAGAAAACAACCATAAGGACCTGCAGTATCTTATTGCCATGGTGGACATGCTGGCTACTTGTGCTGAGGTATGAATATCCATCAAAAATATCAGAAATTACAAAGTTCTTTTCATTAATTTGGAGATAGTACCTCACTGTCACCATGAAGTCTATCCAAATCGGAGGTACTGAAAGTTCATGTCCAGTATTTATATATACATATACACTGTTAACATTTTTGAGAAAATTTCCTCTTTATTGCTCAATTACAGCATGAACCGGTGAGTAGAAAATTTATTGGAAACCAAATCCTGCATGACATACATACAAGGCTGCTTTGTTCATTAATTTGCTGGAATGTTGAAAAATTGATTAGATTACATATATCACATGTCTTCCATCTTTACTTGTACATAACAGACCTTGTTTTTTCCTGTTGACAGGGTGAAAACCGTTTTATTGAATCTATATGTCAGACAATATTCAAAATACAAGAATTACTCCGTATTCTGAATAACAAGAAAGTAACAGACAACCTGAAGCGGCCATTCTTGCGATTTTTTATCTGGGTGTACCTGAACACCGCTGGCGGTATGATAGAGAGTGGTGCTGGTGACCTTCCTCATGACAAGTAAGTCCAAGATTCAATTTCAATGAGAAATATAGTGGCTGTAACAGCACCATCAGCAGAGCATTAGATTTCACAACCGCAGGTGAAGATTGGAGGTGTTTAGTCTGATGATCCACTCTCAGAGCTGCATGTTTCCCAGGAAACCGATCATAGATCTTCTTATGCTGCCATGGTTGTCTTTGATTGAAGCATTTACCTTTATTGCTTTGGATTGTGTCTACAACTGCATGTAGACCCACCGAAAAAGTTAATTGTGTCTGTTCATTGGACTTTTAAACATAGTAAACAAGCAAACCATTTCTGTTGGGTTGTCCTGAAGTGGTCTGCTAAATCTCTAAAGTGTTCCTAAATCTCTTTCCAATAGACATTGGGGTCCTAGATCGTAACTTTTACCTAATGTTTCAGGTCAATGTGGGAGTACTTGAATGGTTTGAATGAAACATTGCGGAATGTCACAGAATTCATCAAAACTGACCCCAACACGGTCAAACTCCTCCTGAAAAGACCACCAGCCAAAGGGTAGGTACAAGATGAGCTCATAAGTTCTTTTAATACATTTTGATTAAAAAAAAAATTTCTTATATATATATATATAAGATTCTATGTACATTTCTGTGTTACTAGATTGTGTTAATTTGTACATTCTATAAGCAAACTCTGTTTTTGTACAGCTTTTTATTGTCATTTTATATCCCATATTTGTGTGCCCACACCTTATCTCAGATTCTAGCCTAGCAGATAAATTTTCTGTGAAATTTAGTGTAGAATATAAGTGTACCAATGTCATAAGAAATGCATTCCAATTTGCTGAATTGGTATTTTGGGAGAAAAACAATTACCAGAATATAGATATATTAAATACTGGTAAGCTCCCAATTAACACATCCCTGTTATTTTATATCCCAAACTAACACAAGAATGATCCATTTTCCTGGGAGTTGGTATAAAGGAAACATCACGTGTATACACCTTTATACAATTTCCTGCTTTCCACCCCCCCCCCCCTATTTATCTAAGACATATTCATTTTTCTCTCCCTTTTCTGATCACAGTTAGATATATTTAGATAAACCTCTTTCATAATGATGCGAGGGATGCCAGTTCAGATTTTGACATTCTCATTACAATTTGAAATTTCTTCCAAATAAATGAAACTGACCAAACCGAAAATCTCCGGAGAATTAGCTATCTGAATATTAAAAAACGAGTTAAAAAAATGATTCCTTAAAGAAATCTGGCCATCTTTTATTTAATCAAGATCATGCAACAATTTGGTTCTTCATTTTGTTTGATGTTGTCCTTGTCAGATGTAACAGAAAGTTTGTCTTCAAAAATTTTTCTTTTGTTTTGAAATCTTTCATATGAGTGAGGGAGGTTGTTAACTGTATTTTGAATTCTTTTTCTGTTCTAAATCACATCCTTTAATGTTGTAAATCACAATGTTGCTTCATATTATTTTGCATATATTATTTCTTCCACATTTTAGTTTTGATATTGTTGTTTTTATTCCAGTGAAGGTGGAAGGTGGGTTTTTAGTCACATTTCCTTTTCTTTCTTTCCTTTCTGATTAATTTCATGGAGCTTAAGTATTGAGTTCATTTAAAACTTTTCAAAAATTGGCAATATTTTTTTTTTGAAATCGAAGAAAAGAAAATTATCAAAACTTTTGGTGTTTTATTATCAAACATTCTATTTAAGCTCATGAAAATAATGTGTTTGAAATTTTGTTAATCAAGCCTGTGCTCTGAAGTGTAATATGTCTTCACATTGATTAATACTGTGTGTTAATTAATTAAACAAATTACTTACTAGCCTTTAATTGTATGTGACTTCCATTTTCAAATATCGGCTTCTAACTTACACTATATATTTATCATCAATTTCTTACTAAAATATGTTGTATATGACAACTAATTACTAGTATTTGTTAGCAGTTGGACAATCTGAAATACATTACTAAACAAATAAGATGGAAAATTGATATAAAACATATACATGTATGTTTGCTATCTTTGTTTGTTGCTTGATATTTTAAAATGATTTAAAAATGATTTTGTTTATGTGTATAATATATAAGGAAACATCTTATCTCTTAACATGCATTGTTATATATATATACACAGTAAGATCAGAGGCTAGGACATTGCTAGGACTCTAAGTGTAGGACAATTGTTATATATATATACACAGTAAGATCGGAGGCTAGAACATTGCTAGGACTCTAAGTGTAGGACAATATAGATTCTGTTGGTATTTCTACTAAACTGCAAATAGATAATGCATGGGTTAGTTATGGGACTAACATGAAATTACTTTTTATGGATATATGGCTTATTGTTGAACTTACATGGTATTACCATATATGGATGGACTTATTGTTGGATTCACATGGTATTACCATATATGGATGGGCTCATTTTTGGATTCACATGGTATTACCATATATGGATGGGCTTATTTTTGGATTCACATGGTATTACCATATATGGATAGATTTATTGCCATAGATGGGCTTATTGTGTAATTCACATGGTATTACCATATATGGATGGGCTTATTACTAGACATGGGCTTGTTGACATATTAACATGGTATTTACCAAAATACAGGGGAACCTGCTTAATATCATGTTCCATTTATCAGGAGGAAAATGTGATAGCAAGCAGAACATGACATTAACAGTTGACATATTTTTCTGGATCTCTAAACCCAAAAGTTAATTTGTTTCTAATAGAAGTTGGTTGAAGATGAGAAATTTGTAATTTGATTTGTTTTTCCCATAATTCATGTCAAATTCAGTTTACACATGGTCAGATTTGTACTCGACACTACCATGTCATCAGTGATGAATTAAGTGGGTTCCCCTGTATTGCCAGAATTTAAGTTTGAAAGCAAATGGTATATTATGAAACATTTTTTTCAGGTTTTAGTGACTTTAAGTATCATGAGTAAGGAAAACTTAATACCTTGTTCAAAGTTTGTGGTATATGTTTCATGATCTTGTTCTAAAAAGATTTGTCTTCAACAACTAACATATTTATCACAAATATATGTACACAGATCATTTTGGGCCATTTTTGTTCCACAGTCCCTTACCCAAAGCATTTCATGTTTCTCAGGAAGCTGAGAAATGAGACTATCCTGTGCTGTGTAGTTGTGTCCTTGTGCAAGTCACTTTGCCCTCATTTCTATAGATGATATGTGAGGATCCTCCCATATGTTGTTCAGTTAGGTAGACAACAGATTCAACAAGGAGCTCTCACCTCAAATAGGGCAATAAATTGAGTTAGGAAGTTTGATGGTTGAAGGTCAAACTACACTTTTCTTGTGTGTTTCTCTCTTTTTAGTCATTTCAGTTATACTGGATTCTACATTCTACCAGTAGTTATTAGATTAGTCAGTCTAAAGAAATATAGCAGGCTACTCAGATATGAAGGGGTAAGGCAAAGGTCAGGATTATCGTCAACAGAGATAGAGTGGGTCAGTCAGATTTACAGGGGTTGAATTGAATTAATATATGTATTTTTGTGATTTTTAGTCAGTTTTTTCTAGGTTTAAATTTCTGAATTGTATGCTTAAATCAGCTTTAAACTCAAAAGAAACTTTGATCATATATGTCTTATTGAATGTCCATCTGTTCGAGAGTCCATGATTATAGTTTTGTCATTATGTACTGTATAGTGTCATTGTGATATTTGTGTCTGGATTTTATATCAACTTGCCTGTTCCTGACATAGGATCCCTCTCCACATACGCCTACAGAGGTAACCAGACATTATATGCATGATAGAGAGCAGTGAGTGTGGTGGAATGTTTTTGGTTCAGAAATATGCATCTTGGTTAATGGTTAAAAGTAGCTGTTTAATACTGAAATGAAAGAGAAGGGTTTGTATATGGATTGTAAAGAGAAAACCTTTCCAAATCACAAGTGTGAGTGATCTTGGTAATGAGGTTTGATTTGGCTTATATCTGGAAATCTTTTGAAACTTCATCTTGTCTTGTTTTTCCACAGGTTAAGCTAGCTTTTCTTGCATGATCCATGAAACAAACCCCTGCTTGCAGTGAGTTTGGGCTTGAAGTTTTGTCGCCTGTCAGCCTTATGCCTAATAGTAATGTTGCCAAGGACTTTGGCCCTCTTGTTATTGTAGCAAGTGCCTTTGGGCCTGATGTTTGTGTTGCCAGTGGCTTTTACCCTGATATCTTTGTCTCCAGTTATGATTTTTAACCCGGCATCCAGCGTCTGTCATTTTTTACTATATATTGCAATTGCAGCTTTTCATGTACGACTGAGCAGATTTTAATAAAATTTGGTCTGAAGCATCCTTGAGGCCAGTGTGACGGGGCCAACAGGGAAAACATGAATTTCTTGAAATCTATATAATCTTCTTCAGATATTGCATGATATTGTCCGTTTTGCAACATCAACAATTCATTTGGATCTTTGGTTCTTTGAAACAGTTGTGATCTCCACTGAATAACTATATCATTGCTGAGCATCAGGAGATAAACACAATCATAGCTGATAATTTGTCATAGGGTCTTGTCCCACCCCAGGACAGATTATATCTTTGAAGCCATTGAGATTACCATCCCATAACTTAAAAGCATTGCTGGACATTAAGAGATTAACAACTGATCTCTGTCCCCACCCCTCAGAAATTTGAAGCTGTATCTGTAGGTGAGGTTCATCAAGGGAAATACTTCCTTTTTGAAGAAATGTAAAGTTTTGCATTATTAACTTGAATATCCAGGTGAGCGATGCAGGCTCTGTAGGCCTCTTGTATATCTTGTAGCGGAGAGGTGTTGTGCTGGACTAGCAGGAGTTGATCATTTGGCAGTGTTTTGAGAATAGCTTGTACATGTAGTGAAGTTAGAAAAGTTTTAGTGTTTTATTTAAATCTTAACCAATACTTAATTTTCTCAAGCATTGGTATAACAAAAGATATATATTGGTTTACTCTTCATGTCTGAACTTGACAGAATATTTTGATAGATTCACTATTAAGAGATTATGAGATTTAACACGTGCATCTAGCATAAATTAGTTGGCTATTTGAATGTTCCTGATCATTGATTCTATTGAACATTGAATGATGACCTTGTTATATGGTTGTTATGTCTTCAGTGGACAGATTGTAGAGATAATCATCAGATTGATAGCCAGGTAAAACCATCACAGGTAAATCTCATCTGTAAATCAGGAAAGAATGGAGCAACTCGAAAATTTGTCAGCAAACAAAAAAAGAGTGTCAAAAAAATTCTGGAAAAATTTTTGCACATTTAACTGATCAAAATAAATAGGTTGCCTCTTTGCAACTGTTGCAGTCAGGAATGTTGGAGTTTTTATGAATTAATGAAGTTATCTTCCTTGATTTACAGATAAGTCATAGTTAGACAGGATTTTGTTTACACATGACAGCTTCTTAAGTCTGGTATCACTGACCTTTATGTTAAATCTGTGGTATCACTGACCTTTATGTTAAATCTGTGGTATCACTGACCTGTATGTTAAATCTGTGGTATCACTGACCTTTATGTTAAATCTGTGGTATCACTTACCTGTATGTTAAAAATCTGTGGTATCACTGACCTTTATGTTAAATCTGTGGTATCACTGACCTTTATGTTAAATCTGTGGTATCACTGGCCTTAAATCTGTGGTATCACTGATCTTTATGTTAAATCTGTGGTATCACTTACCTGTATGTTAAATCTGTGGTATCACTGGCCTTAAATCTGTGGTATCACTGATCTTTATGTTAAATCTGTGGTATCACTGGCCTTAAATCTGTGGTATCACTGACCTGTATGTTAAATCTGTGGTATCACTGACCTGTATGTTAAATCTGTGGTATCACTGACCTTTAATTTATGTTAAATCTGTGGTATCACTGACCTGTATGTTAAATCTATGGTATCACTGACCTTTATGTTAAATCTGTGGTATCACTGGCCTTAAATCTGTGGTATCACTGATCTTTATGTTAAATCTGTGGTATCACTTACCTGTATGTTAAATCTGTGGTATCACTGACCTTTAATTTATGTTAAATCTGTGGTATCACTGACCTGTATGTTAAATCTATGGTATCACTGACCTTTATGTTAAATCTGTGGTATCACTGGCCTTAAATCTGTGGTATCACTGATCTTTATGTTAAATCTGTGGTATCACTTACCTGTATGTTAAATCTGTGGTATCACTGGCCTTAAATCTGTGGTATCACTGATCTTTATGTTAAATCTGTGGTATCACTGGCCTTAAATCTGTGGTATCACTGACCTGTATGTTAAATCTGTGGTATCACTGACCTGTATGTTAAATCTGTGGTATCACTGACCTTTAATTTATGTTAAATCTGTGGTATCACTGACCTGTATGTTAAATCTATGGTATCACTTACCTGTATGTTAAATCTGTGGTATCACTGGCCTTAAATCTGTGGTATCACTGATCTTTATGTTAAATCTGTGGTATCACTTACCTGTATGTTAAATCTGTGGTATCACTGGCCTTAAATCTGTGGTATCACTGACCTTTATGTTAAATCTGTGGTATCACTGACCTTAAATCTGTGGTATCACTGATCTTTATGTTAAATCTGTGGTATCACTGACCTTAAATCTGTGGTATCACTGACCTTTATGTTAAATCTGTGGTATCACTGACCTTTATGTTAAATCTGTGGTATCACTGACCTTAAATCTGTGGTATCACTGACCTTTATGTTAAATCTGTGGTATCACTGACCTTAAATCTGTGGTATCACTGATCTTTATGTTAAATCTGTGGTATCACTGACCTTAAATCTGTGGTATCACTGATCTTTATGTTAAATCTGATATCAAAGATCACAATGTTAAATTTTTGGTATCACTGATTGCAATAGTAAGTCTGTTGTATCATTGACCATAATATTAAATATGAGGTATCATTGATCACATTATTAAATCTGTGGTGTCATTGACCACAATATTAGGTCTGTGGTGTCATTGACCACAATATTAAGTCTGTGGTATCATTGATCACAATATCAAATCTGTGGTATCATTGATCACAATATTAAGTCTGTGGTATCATTGACCACAATATTAAGTCTGTGGTATCATTGACCACAATATTAAGTCTGTGGTATCATTGACCACAATATTAAGTCTGTGGTATCATTGACCACAATATTAAGTCTGTGGTATCATTGATCACAATATTAAATCTGTGGTATCATTGACCACAAAATAAAGTCTGTGGTATCATTGACCACAATATTAAGTCTGTGGTATCATTGACCACAATATTAAGTCTGTGGTATCAAAGATCACTATGTTATACCTGCTATCTGTTCTGTAAAGTCTAAAGTACACACCAAAATCACATTTTAGTACCCCAATTTAAAATGTCACTTCAAAAAATTGGCTGAATTACAAAAGATTAGTGAAATTAAGGTATTACTTGTGTTTCAATATACCACCAATTTTGGGGTTATTGGGAGTTGATAGGGATGTGTTGTCTACGTGAAACTTTGTTGGTCTGCTGCATGGCTATATATACAAGCTTTACTTGGCAGCCCTTTAATAGCAAATTAATCGCTAGATGGTGCATGTGGGATTTTATTATCAGCTAGATGATAAATACAATTTGTAAAGTTAAGGTGATTTCAGAAGATTTCATTGATGATACCGTCACAGTTTTCTAGAAAACAGTACTTCATGTATGTTATTGTGTAATGTGGCAGGATTGTTCAATACTTTTATTTTTAGAATTGTATATAACCTGCTGGTTTACCCTGTTAATTATGGTCAATCTTTAAAAGTAGACATTTAAAATGTTCAAGTTTTACTAGTGATGGCAAGATAAATTTGAAAATCAAATGTTTTAAGTTTTGTTTATATATCACAAGCTTAAACAAATTCATTAAACAAACACTGCTGTGTATGATGATTCAATTATTACTCTATTATGAATGAAACTTTCCTGTTTATAATTCATTAAAGTTGGATTAATCTGTTTGTGATAACTTTTAACAATTCTGTCTATACTTATGCGGTAAATATGACGTTGGCAACTTTACATCCAGTATACATTGGCAGGTGATCCTGCTTTCAACTCCCTGAAAGATATGAACATTTCTGCTACCCTGTTCTTCGCTATATCTAGTATTTTGAGAATAGTTCTCCATAAATACAAATTTTAATAGAGTAAAGAAATAAAACCAACTGTGCACTAGATGTAAGGTTGCTAATGTCTTCTGTAGTTATATGGCAGCATTACGGCAAAGTTTTTGTTTTTATTATTTTTTTTTCCTCTCTCTCTGAGGATTCAGATTAACCAAAATCTTGATGCAAGTAGGATACATTTTCCTTGCAAGTCATGAAATGGAATATTGTTTTCTTTTTTATTTCACAGTTAATAAAAAAATTCCACAGACAAAAAGTGGTAAAAAAGACTGTCTACTGTATTAAATAATAAACTGATGATAGATGTAGTGGTGTTGCCCTGACGACTATTGGTAATGAGTTTTTCTGTTTTACAGTGATAAAGGAATGAATAAACAGGAAGTAATCCGAGGGACCCTTCATTATTTGTTTGATGGAGTGATGCCATTCCTACAGGTAACACTGACCTCCAGTCTTGGATATAAGATCAGATCACTAAGTTAAGAGCAGATCACTACAGTTCATCTATGATTAACTTACAGACATCTTACCACAACCACAGTTCACTTCCTTGTTTTAATCAAATTACACAATGGGATTTCAGAGATTTCTTAAAAGACAAGTTTAAGAAATAGAACTCTTAGTTGATGGTTCCTATTTTGATTCTGTAACGGTTTAAAACCAGCTAGGATAATTAAACTATAAACTGTTTTGCTTCACATGTAAAGAAAACAACAAAAACCAAAAAAACGCACAGCTACAATGTTGTATATCCATCAGCATGAATCTGTCAAGTTACGATCATCACAATAGGTATTTTCATTTGTCATTCTAAATCATACAGAAATGTTTCCTTTGCAGATTTTCTGTAGAAGCTACTATCAACCTGATCCAAGCATGTTCCCTAGCGAACCACAACAGCTAGATGATTTAGCCAGGAACTTCAAGGTACTGTAATAGAGCCAATAGTTTTTGACCATCTTTCATAACTATTGATATTCCTGAATTTTAAAGTTGCATGCAATTGCCAAATTGTATTTAAATGACTTTGTTTGTGAGATGGTGACCTGATACATATTAAGATAATGGTCTGTAATTAGAGAATATAATCCTTTACTCCAAATTTTCTACTTGTCCATGGTAGGTTTTATGTGCTGCATCAAATACAGATGTTGGAACGTTAGTAACATTTGGGATAGTGAAGTGGTATGATCTAAAACAGGTTTATTTCAAATACAGATGTTGGAACGTTAGTAACATTTGGGATAGTAAAGTGGTATGATCTAAAACAGGTTTATTTCAAATACAGATGTTGGAACGTTAGTAACATTTGGGATAGTAAAGTGGTATGATCTAAAACAGGTTTATTTCAAATACAGATGTTGGAACGTTAGTAACATTTGGGATAGTAAAGTGGTATGATCTAAAACAGGTTTATTTCAAATACAGATGTTGGAACGTTAGTAACATTTGGGATAGTAAAGTGGTATGATCTAAAACAGGTTTATTTCAAATACAGATGTTGGAATGTTAGTAACATTTGGGATAGTAAAGTGGTATGATCTAAAACAGGTTTATTTCAAATACAGATGTTGGAACGTTAGTAACATTTGGGATAGTAAAGTGGTATGATCTAAAACAGGTTTATTTCAAATACAGATGTTGGAACGTTAGTAACATTTGGGATAGTGAAGTGGTATGATCTAAAACAGGTTTATTTCAAATACAGATGTTGGAATGTTAGTAACATTTGGGATAGTGAAGTGGTATGATCTAAAACAGGTTTATTTCAAATACAGATGTTGGAACGTTAGTAACATTTGGGATAGTAAAGTGGTATGATCTAAAACAGGTTTATTTCAAATACAGATGTTGGAACGTTAGTAACATTTGGGATAGTAAAGTGGTATGATCTAAAACAGGTTTATTTCAAATACAGATGTTGGAACGTTAGTAACATTTGGGATAGTGAAGTGGTATGATCTAAAACAGGTTTATTTCAAATACAGATGTTGGAACGTTAGTAACATTTGGGATAGTAAAGTGGTATGATCTAAAACAGGTTTATTTCAAATACAGATGTTGGAACGTTAGTAACATTTGGGATAGTAAAGTGGTATGATCTAAAACAGGTTTATTTCAAATACAGATGTTGGAATGTTAGTAACATTTGGGATAGTAAAGTGGTATGATCTAAAACAGGTTTATTTCTTATCATTTCAGATTTTTATTTGGTTATTATTTCATTTCAAACAGTTTGGTTGGGAGATTAGGATTTTGTGCCCAAACCGTTTATTTTCAGCAAGGGTAGTGGCATATACTATTAAACAGATATTCATTGTTATATGTTGTGTCCGAAATCAGTGGCATTACTCCGACTAGCTATGTCATTTCTTGAGGATTTGGATCAGGCTTGAAGGAAAAGTTGGTTCATGTTTCAGAGTTTAAAGGTCAAGGTTATTGTTACTATTTTAAGAAATTCGTCAGGAATTTGTTAATACATTTGAAGAAGCACATTCATTTCTTACAGGCATTGTTCAGTTTGAAATATAGTGCTACATTTTGTTTAGATATAGAATAAGTATGTGACAGTTACCTTAGTCTGTACATCACTGTTTGTAGGACTTCATGAGCGTTGTGGCACCTCTCATCAGCCTGGAAAAGCAGATGAAAAATATAGTGTCCTGTATGACTACAGTAATGTCTGCTTCAACTCTACCTGTCAGTGTGAGTATGTTTCCATGGTAACAATATTTCATTTAGTATTATAATGGAAATGTCTCTTGTGAGGTTGAATGTTACCATCTGTTAGGGTATTAACTGCCAAGAGATTGATTTTAAGTGATGTCTATATTTAGAAAATATTGTTTCTAGGATATGGAAGAGTTCCAAGAACAGTATGGAGGCAAAATCCAGCAAGACGTCCGCAGTGACGCTCGAAAGGTAAGTACATCAAAAGTCTGTCAACTGCAGTGAAACTCATATTTATACAGTTAAGCTAAATGTATGCTGAGTACCTTAAGAAATCTCATACATCTATCTACTGTAAAATCATCAATTTTTTGGAGGCACAATTTTTGTGGGTTTTTTTTTCTATAATAATGTTATTTTTATGGACAATTGATTTTATGGATAGATTTATCTCAATAAATCCACTCATGTTGATTTTGTAGTTTTCAGTTTGTAGACATACAAATTTGTGGGTTTAATTGAAAATTAATCTCCTAGGACTTAATGGATGTTAGAGAGTGGAATGTTGGGATATTTGTTTCTAACTAGGTGTAGTAAAAATTCGTAAAAGGTGGAATGTTTCCGTAAGGGCAGATATTGTTATAAGGTAGACTAAAGTTTAGCATATTTTAGATTAATGGATGTTAAAGAGTGGAATGATGGGACATTTGTTTCTAACTAGGCGTAGTAAAAATAAAAATAAAATGGAACTGGTATTAGACTGCTGAACTTACAGATAAAATTTCCCTGGGCAGGGGAAACATTTAAACTCAAGATCTTGATTCTAAAAGTCGTGACAACAAAACCTTTTTGTTTAAATATAGAAGATAACTCTTAATTTCAGATGTATGAGGATTTCTATGAGACAGAAGAAGAGATCAATTTGCAACTCAATGTCTTTGCTGTCAACATGAAAGTAGCTTACGGTGGTATCAATACTGTCGATGTTCAGCTCGGCCATGGGTCTCCGGACGTAGGTAAGATATAGAAATTAGTTCATGTTTCATCAGGATGAAAGGTTCACTACATTCTTTAATATTTACCATTCCAGTTGTTTTGGATGTGGATCACTGAGAACACATTTTTATGTCTCCGCCTGTTTATGGTTCTTTGTCAGTTATTCCCTCAAAATTTCATCTACTCTTAAACGGATGCAAATATTTATGCTGTTCTGATTTGGCATATTTCAGCAGAACATGGAAATCATAACTTGGTTGAAAAGTAATCTGAAACCTATTGTAATTGGCTGATTGAATGTGTTGTAGAATACTCTGAACTTGGTGGCGATGAAGAACTACCCTTAGGAGCAGAATTTCAGGATCACCTTGCCTGCCTAATTGATAAACGCAAGAAAGCTCCTGTGGAGAAATATGCTATGGCAGAGAAACTAGTGAAACAGTTAGAGTAAGTTCATCTCTTCTCCACAAAACATTTTGCTAGTTTAGAATTTTCTCCAATAATCCAAGGGGGTACATACAGCACTTATTTCCTGTTTCTATAAATCTAAAGATGAGCTCATCACAAGACAATGTCATAAAACTTGTTGAAATTTCTACTCTACAGTACATATATCTGAGTTAATTTTGGATTATTACAGTATATACATAGTTATCTTTTACTGCTTAATGTGTAAATAACATTGAATGAATTCAATACTAATTGCTAAATATGGTAAGAAAAAAACAGTTTTATTTATCAAAATATCTTGGACAAGTTTCACTTTTGGGGTCAAGGTCACTGCTGTTACCATATTTAGAAAATCATTTTCATAGATCTAATGGCTTCTTTCCTAGAGTCCCGTCAAATTTCACACACCTACAAAAACACAATTTATCTTGGACAGGGTCAATTTTCAGGGTTGTTGGGTCAAGGTCACTGTTTCTGTTTTTATAAATGTTATAAATCAATACAGTGTAATAGCTGTTGTGGTCTAGTATGGGACACGTATGGCTTCAGCAATACTCAGTATGCTTGTAAGTATTTATCTAAATTTGGTTGCCTTAGTAAGGAAAAGAGAATGGGCAGTGGGAGGTATGGATGTATTAGTTAGTCATTGGCATACTTGTCTAGTAAATCATTAACTCGATGCTATGGATTACACAAACACACTTCTTTCTGTAGGATATCCTCGAGTTTGACTCACCTTAATGAGAAGGAGAAGTTGGAACAGGTAGATCTGGATGTGAAATGCCTGCAGTTGCTCCGTGGCCTCATACACAATGAGATGATCCGTCTTCCCGAGGATTGGGAGGGACACTCACAGTCGCATAGACGGTAAAATATCTTTGATAAACAGATAGCAATATGGCTAGTAATTCCACTACTGACTGCAATAATGGTATTCATTCTGTGGTAAAATTGCCACAGTACATTTCACTCAATGTTACAGATTGTCAAAGTGGATTTCACTCCATGATGTCGAAGTAGATATGACCCTGTGATACATGTTGTTGTTATATACCTTTGTCTTGTACTGCAGACAACTAAAGGTGATTGAAGAAGTCCAGAATGCCCTCAACACCTATGGTGCAGTGACCAGTGTGTTGGAGCACTTGTCTCGCCCACAAGACAACATTGTCAGGGAGGTCCTCGCCTTCCTTGCTGCTCTCCTCTTCAATGGCAATGATGAAGTCCAGGTATGTATATCATAGTCATCAATATTAAATCAAGCCATAAATGGTAAGGATCTGATCTTGGTTCATTAAAAGCTTGACTGACAAATGTAAATAACTCTTTCAATCAAATACTATGATTAAAAAAAGAATGTGTCTCTTGCTGTAAGTATCTTTATTACAGATACTAGTCCCTTAATTTATTTAAGTTTTGTGATTGAGTTAAGTGGATGGAAAAGAGACTTAAATGATAGATACTAGTGATGGACAATTGCCTGAAATTTTGTTTTGTTTTCCTGTAATTGGATATCTTATGTTAAGGAGGTATTATCAAACTATGTTTTACTGCTGTCAATAATCACTCTCAACTCCTTGAGTGTGGATGGGTGGCACAGTGGTAACATTTGTCTTTCACTTAGGTGACCAGGGTTACTTTTCTAATTAGACATGATAATGTATAAGATGACCTACCCGACCCTGTAGATTTACTCTGGTTTCCTTCCACAGTTAGATCCCTTGTGGGCTCCCATCCAGGTCAAGGGTAATTTGTATACAGTAATGTAACTTGTCTTGATGGTTATTCAAAAATATAGTTTCCTTAGCCTTTTCCAATTTATAGTAAATAGATATTGTAGTATTCATTGCTTCTTACACCCTTACAATATAGAGGACATCAACTTCATTCTGTCAAAAATGGTTCGTAAAATATTTATAAATTATCAATATTTTTCCAGCACACTAGGTAGATTATATAGACTTTGAAATATTGTAAAGTAATGTTTAAAATTTCCTCTATTTTCAGGCGAGTCTGATTTCTTACTTCACTGGAACTAGAGAAGAAACCTTCTTCTTTTCCATCAAAGGTCGGATGAACATGTCTGCCATAGCTACCAGAGAAAAGTAAGATATAGTTACAAAGCTTCCATGTAAACAGGAAGTGGATGAATCCTAAATTCTTTGTTTATCATACAAATTGTACTCAAACAAATATTTGTCTTCTCAGTTGGTAGAACATGCTAAAGTATTTTTGGATAAGAAACTTTTTTGCTTTTAACCTGACTGGACAAAGAATGATACAGGGAAAGGGATTACTACTCCAATTTATCAAATTAACGTGCCTGTCATCTTATGGGGAAGCATCTATAACATATATACAGTCTGTCCTGTCAGGAATCTTTGCCATATCTTGAGAACTTTTGAATAAACTTACATTTACCCATAAGTAAATGTATCATAACATGAAGTCCTACATCTTAATTCATTAAGGCAGTTATTATTCTACAATGTAGGTTAAGGGGGCGAAGTTCACACATTACAACATCTGCGAATTTATCAATCCATGGTTTGCATGGTTGTGCGCACATTCATGTTACAGACATTATCAAGATTGAAAAAGAATCACCTTCACCGAAAGAAGACTTTAGACAGATTATACAGTGATTTCCATAATTATAATGACTTTTCTTTAAGGTGATCCCCAACATAAATTGGATCTCTCATGTTTTTAGCACTACAAAGTAAATATTGATGTTATTTTTCTGTTTTTAGACGACTATTACAGGCGATGCACACAGCTAAGCTGGATGAGGCAATACAGCAGGCTAAAGCACTAAAAAAGGCCATGCAGACTGGACATATGGCTACAGTAGTGAGTAAACATCTAAATGTCGGACTTGACACCCAGACAGGATATATAAGTACAGTTGAAAACTGATGAAAATAGAATAAAGGACAACAAATACATACATATGAACTGAAGAGACAGATCTAAGAGATAATCACATGATTTCAATAAGTGCATTCAATTTATGTTTGTTTTTTGACATTTTTTGCATCGATAGCTTAATATATGAAACCAAAGCAAAATATCAATTTGAATATCGTACGATAATCAGATAACTATGATAGTATTCTAGTTGGAATAAATACTTATTGATGAGGGGTATGTCCATTGTTATCTCAGGAAATCATGAAGGCGAACCAGATGAACTCCATGCTGTCCATGGCCAAGCGATCAATGGCCAATCTACGTCTTGCTTCCAGACAAGGAACGGTAAGTACACTGAAGTATTATTGTTTATCTGATGCTTTAGAATTACAGATCTGTCACCTCTTTTACTTTCCATTTATTACAACATCTTCTAATCACTGTGTTTTTGCTTTCCATTAACTATCTTTAATTATAGGAAAAAGTTCTCTCATAGGAATACACCTGACTTCTCTAAAAGTATAGGATGTAAAAATGAAAATTTGTGCTGTTTCCTGACATAATATATTTCCTTGCACCATCTCCATAATCTCATTTTTCTCAGAGTTCTGGCCCTTTTCATCATTTTTTGTATATACTACAGTAACATTACTTGACAAATTTTTAGTATCGATATGACAGAAATTCCTTACCATACAAGAAAAATATGATCAATTAAAATTGATTTTAGAACAAAGTCACATGGAATGAGTGTAACCACACAATAAAAATTACTGCTTTTCTGAAATGCAAAGGTACTTCCAACGAGCTTGAGAAGTATTTATCAATGCTGTGCTATAGCTGTGTTGTATTAATGTTTGTTCTATTGCTATTTGAATTCCTACAGAGACTAGGAGGATCCCATCGATCCATAATGGGAGGCTCACGAAGGTTCGGTAGTCGTAGCCTCAAACCTGGACCAAGCTCACGCACCCCGAGTAACAACATGCTGATGGCACCAAATGGTATAGCTGGCAAACAGGGCTCTATGATGATTGGAAATAAGAATAGCAAGGTTGCACCAGCAATTAATCCTGAAATTCAAGTGGAGGTATGTTGTTTTATGCTGTAGAACTTTGTGTTACTGATGTCCAGCCATTCTCATTGCATCCTGTACAAATCTAATGACATATCTTGAGAACTCACCAACAAATATGGTTCAGATGAGTCCCACACAGTATTTTAAAAAGAGATTAACCAAAGATAGAGAGGGGTCTTATTTGTGAGCTCTCACCCTGTTTGTAAATGTCCATTATCTCTGGTAACATTGCTGTACTTGACTTTGACTGATACACACAACTTTGAAGTGGTATATGCCACTGTTTATTGATGATTTCGTTATGTTGACCCAAATGATGACTTGTTTTGGGCACAACATAGTTTTACTTTTGATTTAAATAGAACACAAACTTTAGTTGAACTACCACAAAACCTCGGCGAGGTAAAGTTTCAGGGGCAAAGGACAAGGTCGCCATTATTTATAATTAAAATTAACAATTGTTGAACAACTTCATATCAGGCTGAATTTCATCAAATTTATGCTTAGGTCATCTGTGTGAATACTTGTGATGAGTATGTCTTTCAGATTCCAAAGGTCAAAGTCACTGTTACTATTTATAGAAATTTGTCAAACAATGACTCTAATATACATGGGAGAAAAGGCGATCATTTTTTGTATGAAATATTGTTTTATTGTTTATAGATTGTCTGTCCTTGATTACTGATGTCTTGTGGTTTGTTTCTTAATCACAGAACGTAGAAGATGAAGAATTAGAAGAACTTATGCAGCACGCATATGAAATGACTGCTGACCTAGATTTCCATGACGATGGCTATATTGAATTAGTGCTTAGGATTCTGGGACTGATGTGTGACAACCAACACACAGGACTTCAGGACTACCTACGGGAACAGCCTGACAACATCAAGTCTGTTAATCTGGTGGCTGAGACAACTCGCTTCCTCAATATTCTCTACTCAAACATAAACGACAGATCCATGGCTCTCATTGTCCAGCTGTTTGACACCCTTGTGGAATTCACTTCCGTAAGTCTGAGTACTTCACATCCTTTATAGTTCCTAAAGTTATTCTTGCTAATTTTTTCAAAGAAACTGTCAAGTTCCATTTGTAGTTATAACAGATGCTTTCTAGAATATGACACAGTGCGATATTGCATATTTCATATTTGGTTAAAGAATGTGTTGAGTTTTTCAGCAAAAGCTGTTTCAGATCATTTTGGGATTCCTTGCCATTGGTAAATAATGTGGTTTATACAATCAAGTTTTGGATATGGATTAGGGACAGAAGCTTTATACACTTGAAGTCTCGGGTCATTTTCCTTACATGTTTTAGGGCCTTGTTACACTCGTGTAATCAAGACATCAGTAGCCTTAAGTATTTCTGATTAAAATTATGAAGTTGGAGAAATTCCAGTACAGGGGCATTAACATCATAATGTGACAAATTTTCATACAAGGTTTTTATGATAGTATGATAAACATTGTGGTAGTCCTGTTTGCAACAAGCGCTGTTACCCAAGTGCTGTCAGTAAATGTATTTGACACACCTCCAGAGGCTTCAGCTCTTCAGCTTACTATCGACCTGTAATTTAAAACATGTGCTTGACTAAGTAAACAGTATCTAGTAAATTCTGTATTTAAAGGTGGTTTTTTTACTAATCCTTCCCGAGAGAAATGATTTGTGTTGTGTTTATTATGTTAATTTTGTCTTAAGATTTGAAATCCTTACTGCTGTACACTAAGTGCTGCTGTATTTCTCTATGAATGTTAATCAACTAATTTTACTGATATTTGATGACACTTATTTGTTTCCAGGGCAACCAGCAGAATCAGGCTGTAGTATTTGATAACAAGATATGTGATTACATCAACCACATTTTACGTGTGGGTGTCTTCAAGGGCTGCAAGGAAAAAGATGTGAGTATAATGCAAAGTTCCAAGAACCTTACAAAGGATTCACTCACACAGAGTGTGTTTATCTTGTCTCAAGTCAGGAAACAATTCCAAATGTCAAGGTTATTGGGAGGGTGTTTCTTACGTAAAGTCAGGGGATTCTTTGAAATTCAATTGTATGTTTAGAACATGTTTCTTAACTTGAAGCTAAATGTTTACTTTATTTGTTAAGGAGTCAAAGGTGAATAATATTAACAGCAGCCTTCATTTGAAAGGTCAAAGTTCAAGATTTTGTTAGAGGAAAATATTGTTCTATAAGTTGGCTGTATTAATTGAAAACAATTTAAAACCATATTGGAATATTTTTCATAGGTGAAGATTTTCCAATTTTTCATTTAAAATAAAATGATTGTTGCAAATATGCATGGATAATTGGAAATGGCCGAGTTGGCTAGTGATGATACTGATATGACATCTGATTTTCATAGCATGTGATATGCCAATGAAATTTACAATAACTTTCCTTTTTTTAAGGATGAAATTTTACAGTCATGTAAATATTCAACATAATAGCAAAAATATAATTCCTTGAAAAATTACTAGTTATGCAGTATGTGGATTTACTTCAACTGAGAGTCAAATTGACAATTTCAACATTGGAATGAATAATATAATACATCTTGCAGCTGATGTTGATTATTAACTTATACTAGAATGATTTGTATTAAAGAGAAATATATATAGTTAAATTAAATCATCAATAATTTCTATTGTTTTTTTTTGTCAGGTGTACATTTTGAAGAAATCTATTGCGACTTTAATCAAATCCTTGAGTGAAGAGAACCCACCAGAAATGAATGAAGATAATCCTATTGCCACTCTTGCTAAGGTAAACAACTATCATCTTATAGAAGTAAACAAATGGTTCAACCTTTACAAATAATCAACATTAAAATCTCAGGATAAAGCCATTGGAATTTTAAATATTCTAATAGGATGCTTGAGATCTCTTAATTGTCATAATAAATATTTTTAAGTTTTAAAGTTTAAATTTGTGATATTAAGACTTTGTTAGTTTGAAGATATTAAGGAACTTGCTAGGTTCATCCATAGTCCGTTATATGCAAAAAATAAAATCCACATACCAGACGTTTGTAATAGACTTCCACGAAAGGTTATTGAATACAATAAATCAGAAGTTTTGTATTCAGGGTTGATCTGGAAAAGTTTGGTCTAAAACAGGTGGTCAGATTCCTTATATAACATATTGTTTGTTATATTAAGATAAATTATCATCTGTCTGAACAGTTTGAAAACTTTGTCTTTAGGTGAAATATTCATGTATCCAGTTTAGGTGTCTTATCAAACCATTCAGCTCCATTTTGTGCACAAACTTGTGCCTTGCTGGATTAAAGGCTTTAAAATGTTTTTCATATCAAATTTTCTCTCACTGATGAAGAGTTAAAATTCATATGAAATAGAAAATTGGGTAATGGTCATCACTTGAGGTTCTTTGTTTACTTTTAATTATGTAAAATGGATTCTGCCATTTTTCATTTAATTTCACTAACTTTCAACTCTTCATTTAGTTTTAAATGTTTGTATAATTTAGAAGTTATTGATACCTGTATAAATACATAAATAGAATTTAAATATTGTGCTGTTGTATTGATATTCACTGTCAGTGATTCTTCTTGCTAGAAACCAGTAAATCCAAGGGATACGGTGAGCCTTGTTATTATATGCTAGTTATCTCCCCTTGCATGGATGTACAATGTACTATTAAGCTTTTTAGAGCCAATGAATTGATCTTGTCCAGATATATCTATAAAGGGGAATTTATTTTTTAATTGTTTGACATGGTATGGTATTTTAAACATGTTTAATATTTAGATTTACTCAGTACAAAAATGAATTTAATCTGTTGTAACTTACTTTAAAGTGAACATGTTAGAAAATTACAAGTGAAAATTATAAAAGATTTTTAATGAAATAGTTGTCATTTCATGATCTCAAAAAAGGATGTTGCATATCTCAGGTTTTACCTCAATATATCACTTTGATAGACAATGAAATGTAATATGTGTCTTAGTGTTGTACTCTCATTGATGTTCACAATGTTAGTGATTCACTTGCTAGAAACCCTTAAATCCAAAGGATACGGTGAGAATTGTGATTACATGCTAGTTATCTCCCCTTGCTTTATCCCAGCGTTTGCATAGAAGCTATATGCCTACGTGTTGTCCACAACAGATATATACACTGTATAGATTTTGGAAGCTTCATAATTTTTCTTTGATTATTTGAAAATTTATTTGAGGAATTTGCTGATAAATAATTGTCTTGGTAAATTGGTATTAGATCTGACACTGGTTGAATTATTTGAAATTATTAAAAATGTATATAGATATATATACATTGTATCTATTGTATGAAAAATGTAATATGTAAAATACTGACTCTCCTACCATTACTATACATTGTATATTCCTGACTTTAAACATAATCAACGCATGTATCCAACCTGATGAAATAAAACTTCTAGGTCTAGTTGATTGGGTGGGTTATACTGATATACTGCTAAATAATCTATAGTTATGTTGGACCTACAGTTTTCATGAAGCTTTGCTCAACTTATGTCAGTAAAGTTCCAACCTAAGTGAAGGTCTAAGTGAGAACTACAGGATATTAATGAATCATCAATAATGCATATATACAAATGTAAATGAACTAAGGAGGAGGAAGGAGCCAGTTAGATGGAAATTAGTGGGTTTTCTTAGTGTGAAACCTCACGTTGAGTATGGATACCTCAGGTGTATTTAGGGCAGTTACAGAAAATAAATTTATTTTAGACAGGGAATAATGACCGCAACATACTTAAATGTTTTCATACAGATCCTGATGAAGACCCTGTGATAGGGTCAAAATTATTAGACTGGCAAAGTTTCTACCAATAGGTGACGCTGGAGTATGGTGCGGTTCTTATTCCCTCTCTACATATATAAATAGTACTTCAGACTATTAAAAAATATTGTAATATATTTTTATAAAATATTGACTATCATACTACCTGTACATTGGATATTGTCTTCGTCTTTGATAATTTGGTTACTGACAAGTAGGGTTTCAGTCAATATAATGGTGAGCATGTGTGTCAGATAAATTACTTCAAGACCTTTGTTGGGACTATGGTTTTCAGGAAACATTGAACATTAAGTTTTCAATCAAATTTTATAATTATTGCTCAATATTTTTAGTTCAATGCTGCATGTATCCACCTCCATTATACTACCAACACGACTCCTACAAAGATGTCAGCTGGTGGATTATTTATCATTTGGGATACTGTTCTTACAAACTTAATGAGAAATATGTATTTCTGAAACTGGAATTGTAAAGCTTATATCATATCATAGGACTAGATGTATGGCATGTTGCAATTTAGATTTTCTGTTGCAAAGTTATTTAGACATATTTCACTTTTGGTCTTGTACCTCAAATTGTTATTAAAAAACGAAGCATGACTGTTTATACTAGGTCTTGACCACACACTAAATCAACGCTGCATGGTTCAACCTCCACTGTTTTTCTTGGTAATTATTGGAAGAAGTTTTTCTTTTGATGGATGTTATGCTGATTTGATAACTAACAGAAAATTGATACCAAAGAGGTTATGTTTGTTTAGTGTGCACAATCACTGTATTTGTATACTGTAATCAGCCTATCTATGAGACTTGGGATAAATGACACAGATTGAGAAATTTAACATGCTATGTATAGGGAATGTCCTTTCATTTATTTATATTTTTTTGAGTAGAAAATGTTCAGGATTTTAAAATGTGGATGAATAAGTTCATGTATAATATGTATATATTGTGTGATATGTATTAAATAAAGCTACCTGTCTATATGGCTAACATAGATGAGGTATTGATAGTGCTGTAAATTAGTAGTTCAAAAATATAAAATGGCAGCACATCATTTCAGGATTTTGATGATAAAAAGAAGGTAAGTTTCTGAACATGATCAAAAGGTTGATTTAATATCTTAGTATTACTGAATTAGTACAGAACTAGTTTTAGTTTAGTTACAGAAATCAGTTATAAATTTCATCTAATATTTCTAGAATTACGAGAATTGTCCACCACTAGTTTTAGTCTATAAATACATCAATCATTTAATGACAGTTACCCAACTTCGTAATTAATTGTTATCCCTCATTCATTCATTCATTCCCAAATCCCCAAACCTTTGTCCATCCTTATGTCACATACATTTCAATTTTTCTGTTTATCATAAAAATAGAATTTCAAAAATTGAAATAACACATTAATATAACTTTTGGGTAAATAATAATGATTGCCTTGAAAAAAGAAAGGGGAAAGAAGTCTCCTTATTAGCTTTTCTGGTTTGAATGAAATATTAACTATATCTTTCCAATGTAGTTCATACAAAGAGGCCAGTCTTACCTGTCTGTCAATCTATGGATTAAATAAGTTCATTTATTTTACATCTAATTATTGTAAAAGTTTTTAAGTTTCACTTATCTGCAAAGTTAAGGTTGTAAGATCAATGTGGATTATTTTTCTGAGAAAATAAGAAAAAGATATTATATTTCAGTGTAAAATCAGTTTTGAACTTTCTACTATCGTGACAATTGTGGCAATATTGATTGATGGAGTAACAATGATGCAATCATTTGAGTGTCATACCTTTTCTTATTTTTAACATTAGAAAGAACCTGCATGAATTTAGTAAAAGAGATTTCTAGAATTTTATTTTTTTTATAGAAAATAGTCTCACAACTTTATTTTAGTATTTCAGTGTTTTAATTAGATAATTCCATGTTATGTTTTTTGATCCCATATAAAGTATAAATAAGTAGTTTCTTACAAAATGTCAAAAGAAATTCAGTTTTCTTTTCTGACAAGATTTAATGAAAAGTGTCTCTTTTTCAGAACTGATTATATACATATCATTTCAAAATATATTTTTACATGATATATTTTTTTTCAGGATATTCCATAATTTGTTACATTATTGTAAGATGAGATTAATTATCAGAAAGAAAGAAATGGGTAACACATGAACTTGTAATCTATTGTTCAGTGCTGAAAGTATTGAAATATAATAACAACAGTTTAGACATTTCAACAAGGGAGATAATTATAAGTCATTGGAGATATTTATGTGGGGTTAATTTTAACTTGGATCTCCTTCCTTTTAGTTGGACAACCCTAAAAGTGTTTTCACAACCCAGATGGTAAGATCTTTAGTGAGAGACTTGTGCCTATAGTAGCACACTGTAGCTGGCTATAGAAAAGCCACTATTAGTGTACTATAACTCGCAAACAGGGTCCATTTGTTTGTAAAAACAAAAGGGTTTTAGAAAATAATGATGAATTCTGTGTTTTTTATATTAAAATTAAAATATGCTATTATAAAAAGCATGCGTTTATTACACAACAACTGGGCCTTGTTTTTGAACACAGGGAGTTGGACTAGGCCTTAATTCCTTCCCCTGAGTCTGACTCAGAGGACTGGAATTTGTTCATGACAATGGTATCCCTCATTTGTACTTTAAGTGAGAAAATAGAAAGATGACAAAATACTAATACTGATAGTGCTTTGACTTGGCAATTTAAAATTTCTAAAATATATATTTACTGTATACAAGGATATTTTCACTTCAGGTCATTTTTACCCTTATTCCATTACACACAATTCGCCTCGTGATCATTTCACCCTCTCAGGAATGTTTAAATGGGTTATATAATTGTAACAAATTTTCACCCCATCTTAATTTGCTGTCCCTGCTCATAGATAAAAAAGGGTAAAAATTTGTTGTGATTGGAAATGTTCCAGTGTACAGTATATATTTGTGGTTTCCATATAAAATCCCAATGTTAACTAAGAGGTTGACGAGTTTGCAAAAACAATAAGATACCATTGTCAGTACAAAGGTAATGAGGTAATTAATCCCTGTATCATGTACAAATCTGTATGATATATTGATATTTTTATGCTGAAGCTGTCATACTAATACTGCAGATTGTTTTTTATATGCAGACGGATCCGGATTTACTAAAAATGTTGCAATCACGACCATCATGTATGGTAAAGGATTAACCATTTTTGTATCAGTGTTGTTTTAATGTCGTCTTTCAAATTTTATTTTTTTAAACAAAATTCCAACCTTTTTTTTACCTAATTGTCTTACCTTTGTTATTTGCTAAAGAAATTTAAGGAATATGCATGCATTACCCTTCAGATCTGCATGGCTTGACGTAAACTAAATTAAATAACATTTAAACAATAACAAAAGACCTTCTTCCCAATACATTGTATTATGTAACCCTTTCAATTATATCCATATCAGAGATAATTGCCAGCCCGCCTCTGTCATTCACATGATACCTTAAACACCAATTAAACATAATGAAATTTATTCTTAAACTTAAAAAGGCCTCAATAATGGTAGACATTTTCATTGCCGTGTGTTACAGTGTCCCTTAAATTTCAAAGATTACCTTTCTATCAACATCAGTTCAGTTAAACATTTAAATTTTCATCATAAAATTACAACCTCGTTGATTATTTTAAACACACTAATAACATTTATTGCATATCCTTCCATTAGCTGCTTTTTGTCTTTTTAATTCTTAATCTTTTGAAGAAATAAAATTTTGACTGTTCATTTAAAACTGTTTTCTTCCTTCTTAATGCATTAAAATAAATGTATTGATATAAAACCTTCAGTATTGAGAACATTTCTACTGATAGCACAAATGTTGCCCTATAGTTGTACAATAAGATATCAACAGCATAAGACTGATTTTTTAACACCAACAATACAATTTTATGATATTAAAGGCAATCAGATACACCTTAAAATGGATGTAATTGATTTTACTGGGGATTTTCGAAGAGGGGGAGAGGGGGGTGTTTGAGACAGAATTTCAGATGAGTAAATTAGTATATATTTGACGACGATATCGCAATGTTTGGATAAAAATAGTATTCTGAAGGATAGGAAATGTAGTATATGAAGCTTTTTTGCTGTAGAAATTTTTTTTTTTTACTTATCAAATTCCTTATTAGAGAAGTGCCAGCATCTAACTTTCCTGCCTTCCTAAGTATTTGTGCTGGAGTGATGCTTACATTTGTATGATATGTATCTGAGAAGATACCAGGTGTGTACCAGCAGTAGTGTTTATCATACAGCTTATGATTCCAGTCCACTCTTTACTTTTAGGGTGCTACCTACAAATACTCGTCAGTAGTTTCCAGATCAAAACAGGTACTGGTCATGTTCCACCATTTGGTGAAACATGAACTCAATATCATCCAACTTCAAAGAAAATAACAAATACAAGTGTGTGGAATCTAACTTTTGTGTGTTAATAACTAGATACGAAAACAATTGTGATCATTGTTTTCTCTTTGTGAAAAATGTGTTGCATTCTATGATAAAGTATGATGCATATGTGAAAATAATGATATGAATTATATGATATTTATGTTGATTTTTGTAATTGGAATAAATTATAAATTCCTAAACATATTTGTATTAAGTATATATTTTTTAAAATGAAATCAGAAATCCTTTACACTATAAAATTTATTTATTTTACAACAATTGTGAAACAAGTTTTTTTCAACTAATACTAATCACACTTGTTGACCTGGATGTTAGCGTGCTTAGGGGGTCTTCTTGTGGGTGAAAAGCAGAGTACCCAGGGCAAACCCACGCGGTCAAGCAAGTGACCCCATACCTTTTCACGTCTGTTCCGGAAATCAAATCCCGAACGGCGAGGTGAAAGTTCAGTGCATTACCACTGTGCCACCCAACCATCCTTTTTATTTATTTGAAGAGGCAAAATTAATTTAGTTTTACAGATGTTACAATATTTGTGTTGCCTGAAATGGAAACTCATGAGAGCAAGACCATGATGTTACTTTATGACTAGTTTGATTAAAGATGTTATACATTTAGCTCCAAAATTTTGTCTGACTTTAACCAAATTTGGTATACAGCTAGACTACATAGTGGAAACCTAAACACATTTGTCATTTCAAATTTATTTTCGTTACAAAAAGTTCAGACCTTACAAAGTCTGTATGACTTCTAATCACATTAGATTTAGATTATTTACACAATTTCTGTAAATTGTCAGACAAGTGTTTTTAATTCTCCTTTTTTTGTTTTTGTTTTTGTTTTTGTTTTTTTTTTTTCAAATCTACTTTTGATGAAAGATTCTTATAACATAGCTTGAATCACATGATTCTCAGCTAATTTTTCTTTACAAGCGGTTATACTACTGTTTAAGATTTCACTATACTAAGGGTGTTTAAAGTTCCAAACATCCTTCTGACTATGGAATGGGGCTTCTTAAAATCATTCCGCTAATGGTTAAAACTGAATTGTGACTGAGGAAAAATTATAAAGGGTTAATGAAATAGATGCAAAATGAGGTTTTTAAAATCAAACTGGATTTAATCCTTCCACAAACTTAAAAAAGTATTCTAAATAAAAGTTAAATTTATTTATCATTCTGAAAACCACTGTTTTGGAAATTTTCTTAAATATCCATAACACTTCACACCATTGATAGACTGCACTGTTAAATTAACACAATGCTTTATCTCTAACTGCTTCCCACTTAATCAAGTTGCATGTTTATTTTTTGTTTTTTCTGTGCATTTTTTATTTTTTCTTACATGTTAATTACTTTTCAGGTTTAAGATTTTGATATTTTAAAATTTTTCTTTATTCAACATGACAGCTTTAATTCTCAAGATTGCATATCATATTTTTTTTTCTCGTCTTTTTTATTGTTGACATCAAATTACTAATGAAAATACAGAAGTGCAAATAAAACATTAATTAGTTCAATTAGAGTTTTCACTCTGCAGTAAATATACCATATTTCATTTCAAATTTGATTATTACTGAAACCTGTATGGATTTTAAATTGTTGCGTACACAGCTATTTCTCATAATCTGATATGGTGCTTTAATAAGATAAAGTAAAGTTTATGAAAATAGAAGATAAATTTTCAGACATTAATAAAGTTTAGATGTGATTTCCTTTCCGTAGAATCATGTAATTTTTAGATAAAAGAATATGATTTTTTTTTTTCAAAAGATTTTGTCAGATGAGTTGTACTATATTGAAGATGTGTAGTTGAACTTGTCCTAACTTCATGTTAAAATTTCCTCTACAGGAAGTGATGGAATACTTGGACACAGATACACTGGCTAACACGATGACCGAGTCCTACCTCCAGATACTGGTATGATATAGTAGAACTATTATCCATTGTGCTGGTTATATCTAAGTTAATGTGATTTAATATCAAGTACTGTTGTCTTAAAGCATTCCACTTTGTCCATCATCATATTAACCCAAGTGACATTTGGTTTACAGAATGATAATTTAAAGTTTTTTAGCTTCCACCATTCAATTGAGTGGGGAATGAGGGGGTGGGGGGTGGCATATAGTGTTATCCATGTTTTTCCGTCCTACCTAACGTCACATCTTGAGAACCTTTCATCATTCGACATTATAATAACACAAGTTTCACACCTAAGTAAAAAAAAAAAATCCAGTATTAAACTTCTTTTCTGATGATTATTCTTTAAAAGGTTTGCTTTTATAAAGTAGATTAAAAACAGAAAATCAATGTTTCCACTCTACTTTTTCCAATACAGTCGTCAGAATATGTGTCTAAGAGATATTTTCTTTTTATTTTTTTTTGTTGCAAACATTTTTGAAATAATTTTTCTGCTTTATTTAGAAGGTGACTTTGATATTAAGTTAAATATAATGTGAAAATGTTAAGTTTTCATTTGATTTAATAAGCTTTAAACTGCATAGTAACCAAAAAATGAAAAATGAAATTTTTTCTAAAATTACTTAAATCCTTTATTTGACTTTCTTCTAATATTAAACTTTTAAAAGATTTTATGTTTGAATAGAGAAATTTTTGTTAAGAAAATTTTCATCATTGCAAAAGAGGGAATATCCTTGGTTTTATTTTTCACAATTTTCACCCAAATAGCAAGTTTTTCTGAGATCAGGAAACAAGCTGAAATATTTGCTGTCGGGTCATGAAAATCTTATAAGTACAACAAATAGTGTACAGGATTACAAAATACAAGGATATTATAGAATAGAAGTTCCTATAACATAACCAGTTGGAGTGGTTATGTTAAAAGTTCATTATATTGACATTTCCAACCTGAAGAAAATGTTTCAAAATATCCAACATATTGTGTTGGGATTCCTCTTATATTAAATTAAGTCTTACTTCAAAACAAACGTCAAAGGAATATATCCTTAAAGTAGTCTTCGTTCAAGGTTAAAGAGTGATGTACATTTCATTAAATATGTTAAATTGAATTATCAATATCACCTATTATTTTTTACTGTGTATTAACATTGAAATTAGTTATATTTTATGAACAAATTAAGCAGAGGCACATTGAGGGGAATCTTAACAGTTTATTATATTATAATGATATGGGCTAAGGGGCTATAAACAGCTGTAGTGCTTCAGTATTACCTGGCCAACAAGTAAATGCTTAAATAGACTGTCGAGATATCGAAGCTGCTGGCCGAGCTATGTACCTGAAGGGAGGCAACTTAACTATTTACTGCCAAATAGAATTCTTCGGCGCCTAAACCCTAACTCCCTTTATCAGGAAGGGAGAAAGTATGATTTATCCATGCTCAGAAACAGCTGGCAAATGTTTACTCAATTAAACTACCTTATAAATGATTTTGAATTAATGCTGTTGTAGCTCCAGGCCTCACCTGCAATGGTCGTGTGGTGGGGTGGTGGATAACACATTTGCACAACAAACTACTGGGATGTTACATGTAACAGCTACTGAAAACTGACTGATCACATGACTACAGTGACCAATCATTATCTGATTGCTCGCTGTATAAATAACCACTCATGTGATTAACTGACCAATCGTGTCTTCCACATGTCGTAGCATTGTATCATCTACATACCTACTTGCTTTAGCTCATTTGCATAGGATGCTAGACTTGCTCAAGTTCATAAACTGCACTTATGCTTTTATCATATACATAAGTTTTAATTTATGAACAAATTACGCAGAGGCACATTGAGAGGAATCTTAACAGTATATTACATTATGATAATATGGGCTACGGGGCAATAACAGCTGTAGTGCTTCAGTATTACCCGCCCAACATGTAGATGCTTAAATAGACATCAAGATATCGAAGCTGCTGGCCGAGCTATGTACCTGAAGAGAGGCAACTTAACTATTTACTGCCAAACAGAATTCTTGGGGGACTTACGAATTACATAATGAAGTAAAATACCCAAATTGAAGATGTACCACAGCTGAAATACACCCAAATATAGTGTGCAGCCATACTGTAACCAGCTAATTAAGTTATACATAAACCTCATTTATCAACTACATGTATACAGCAAACTTAATGATCACAATATTTTTTGCTGAGTATTAACATTGAAATGGATTATATGTAGTCCAATGTCAGATTTTGTGATCAGAGAACGTTTGTTTGTCAAAGACCTAGAAAATGATGCACTGATTCTTAATTAACATTACATTAACATTTAGTGTGTCACAGTTTCTTTTTCATTTGAAAAAAAAACTCAACACGGTTGTTTGTGTTTCTCTATTATGCAGAAAGCTGCACAAGCCCAGAGTAAAGAGGTAAAGGTTTGCTTACTAACTTCCACAGGACAAACTAATATGTAAACATGGCCTTCAATTAATTACCAGACTTGACAAAGCATGGTGGAAAAGATGTTCTGTAAAACATTTTGACCAATAGAAGCAATAGGAAACCATTAGATTGTCAGATCCTTTGTGATCTTAGTATCAGTTTACTTTAGATGGCAATATTTACACCAGTACAGGGTTGATAATCAGTAATATCAACTCGTAGGATTGTAACCTTTAGAAAATCATTCTGCCAGTTTTGATTGTGACACTGTATAGCCAGTGCAGAATGACCTGTCATTTTGACCTTCCACTTTGACCTTCCACATATTAATTAAAGGTGAATCTTATCAACATTGGATACATTCAATTTGGTATGTAAGTCTTTTGCCAATGGAGGTATTAGTATGAACAAAAATGTTTAGGAAGAAGCAACCAAAAGGGCCATGGAGTTTGCATGTCCTGCCACAAATGTCTTTTTAAGTCAATTTAACCTGATAGGGTTTGGTGTAGGTTGGGGACTTAGGGAAGGGTCCTAGCTGTCATTCTTCAATGTATGCCATGCTACCATGCTTTGTACAGTTAAGGATACTACCCGCTAAAGAACATAATATTAACACTGTTTACTAATGCTGAAAAGTGTGTTTACTAATGCTGAAAATTGTGTGGGCATGTATGACCTGCCTTTACAATCTAACCAGAAAACTTAGAGTACTCCTATATACGTTTATCCTTGTTTTACTACACAGAAAAAAGCTTTATCATCCATATAACCTGGAGACATTTATTTATAATTGTTAATAGTTTACAATTACATTGATCTGGAGCTTTCTAGATTCCAGATAAGTCTTTTCAAAAATAGTGTTCATTGTTCCAGTTCATTTCAATCTATTCTATTTAAAATGAAATTTATTAAATTTAATCAGGATGTGATATCATACTTGTTTCAACTGAAATGTGATTTCTTGATTTAAAAATTCATTTAATAACCAATTAAACATTTGCCACATGTGTTAACATACATTTGATATACATAGTTTGATACTCCGGAACTTATTGAAATGGTAAGATTGTATGTATTTGCATGGAGACCAAATTAAAATCATGTACTCTTTGATATTGTGAGACATAGAACTAAGGGCTTGTTAAATTTATGAGTAGATCAGTTGATTGGTATGAAGTGTTGATTGTGTTGTAGATGAATGCAGTATGTCTGGTGACAATGTCCAATTTCATTAACACATTTATTTTGAAGTTGCTGTAATACATCAATGTATTTCGCCTGTGAATGGATATATACTTTTTTTATTAACTATTTTTATAAGATTTTCATTACTTGATAATTTTTTTTTCTACCTTGTTAAAATTTCCTCCGAGACCAAATATGTGTTAGTAAAGCATGCAAGGGAGGTAACTTTTACTAGATTGCTGCATGTAACTAACTATAGTAAAGAAATGTGAATGCATTGATATGCTGAGGGATGAGCATGGCTATAACTTAATAAACAGGAGTCTGTTAACTACATTATAGACTGTACATAAGGATAGCATGCAATTTGACTTGATTTGAAGCAAACTAGATATGACATTGTTGAGAGCATGCAGGAACGTCTAGCTGTAAGCCATCTTTTGCAAGGATTTTCCAGTTTCCATTGTTAAAACATCTACTAATCAGAAGGCATAATGTCATAATTTAAACAAAAAACTATGATCCCATTTTGAAGTTATTTGGGATCAGGTATTGTGAACATTTAAGATGTCTTATAGAGGTTTTAGGTTAGTTATTTGTCTTGATACATTTTAAACAAAATAAATGACCTTGACACTTCCAAGATCCTGTAGCCTCTTTCTGGACCGGAGTGTGTTGAGTTTGAACAGCAGAAAACAACTTTTGTCAAATGTGTTTTTAACCAGTCATTGACCAAGCCCTGTGGCTATCTGATTTAAGTGTAATTGTACCTGATCAACAGCAGCCAAGTAATTACACAAGACAGATTGTCAATATTTATATTAAGATCTTTGTTTTGGAACTAAGAAAACTATTGTATGTTTTTGGATAAATGGTTATAAGATAATCGGATTTTTTTCCAGTTTGCTATCCATCAGAGGACATGGACCATACTTGCCATCATCCTTGTTTAGAAAGAAGGAAATCTTATTTTACTAATTGTTGGACAGAATGTTGTACATTCTTTTTAGAGTTAATATTGTCCTTTACTCTGAAAGCAAAGACTTCCATTACTAATGATATGACCATACATGTTTACTGTTGCAGATGAATGGCTTTGAGCTATATATAAATTGTTACAGATAAATTACCAGGACTTTGCATGTATAATGTTACAGATAAATGACCTTGACTTTACATGATATAGTATAATGACCTTAAATATTTGATTTGTATATCAATGAGGCTGACTTAATATTTATTTGATGTTGTTACAGTTTAATATCCCTGATCTTACATTAATGACAATGACCTGAGGAATATATTGTCACAGATAAATGATCTTTACCGCACATAAATATTTCTGTTGGTGAGTGACCTTGACCTTACACTGTACATATCTGCTGTCCCAGATGAATGACCTTGACCTTACTTATTTAATATGTTATATTTACAGAGAAACCAACCTGATTTTGAAGAAATTAAGACTCTGGTCACTCAGACAGGGTTTGCCTACTTCCACATTCTCTGTCGCAAGTTGGATTTGGATGAAAAGCTGAAAATAGATTGTAATTATCAATATTTTGAAAATATGTGAATGACATCATTTTGCACTTTCAAGGTATATATTCACTTAAACAGTCAAACCTGTCTACAAAGGTCACTTGTCAATGAAGACCACATTTCTGTGCTGTCATTTGGTAATGTGAATTTTTCTTTTATCACTTTTTGGAGTTTATCACAAAGTAGTGAATGTAACAATCTGGAATCAATAACTGTGTGGTTGTGTACATCTGAATCTATAGTTTTGATACATCTATGTTGTCCCATTCAGAAGAAATCTGTCTACCTGAAACGTACAAATCATTGCAATGCATTTCACTTTATAAACAAACCTTTTACTCTACAAAAATTTCTTTAAAATTAAATGCACATGAAGACAAAAGTAAAGCAATTCAATACAATATGCATACTTCTATTTGTAAAATATTTTGCTTAAAAGTCCAAAAAATTGTGACATTTTATAACTGATACCAATAGCTGAATACCAAAACTTTTTTCAGTATATACATACATTGGAGGATGGGGGGGGTTTTACTGTTATTGGTTAGATTTTATATTTCACTAGCTTTATTTCCATTAAAGTCATGAAAATTGATGCAAGTATTATATACCCCGGTACACGTTGTTTTTTTAATGGACATTCTTTGTAAAGAATATATCTCATGAATGCCTTTTATTTGTTGATGTGGATGGTGCAGTATTTGCGATTTTTATTTCAGCATTTATCAAATCACCTGAACAAGAAGCTGCGTGGATGTACTTTAGTGAGAACACCCTGTCAATAGAAATCCTGAAAGATGATGTTTTACAGAAGATTTACTACAGAGTCAAGGACAAGGTCAGTGTGAAGGTCAAGGTTAACAAGCAAGAAACTCTATATACTTAATGTATTACAACTATTCTTAGACATACTTCATTGGATATGTTAGAAAATGTGAGGAAATTTCACTTTAATATTTGAAAAAATGTTTCAATTCTTATCTGACAGTAAGCCAATGTCTGGTAATAAGCTCAGAAATATATACAGTGGTTCACCAGAATTTCTAAAAATGTGATTCATTGTCCTGTAATAGCCCAACTGTAAAGCAATCAGTTGGTCCTTTTGGGCTATTGTATCTAATATATATAATGAACATGAAAATCTAAAAAAAATTGAAATAATTAAATATTTTTTCCATTGCATGTGCTACAGAAATCTGACTTGAACTTTTATCAAATAGTTTTTTAGGTTTTAAACAAAATCTTTCCTTTTGGTTCTGCAGAAAGTGCTTCGTGAAGAAATCAAAGAGAAGTTTAAGTATGAGGTGGACCGTACCTCTCCTAGCAACAAACTGCGTGACTTCATGGACTGGGCTAGTGACGTGATTCAGGACATCAAGTACCAAAGAAAGGTTTACTCCAACAGTTTGGGCAGACTCCTTGTCAACTTGTGGTGAGTATAACATGTCATTTAAAGCCATATCTCCATAAAAGACTTCTTGTCAGCCTGTGGTTAGTATCAAATTTCTTTGTTCCAGATCTCTTGGGAAGCACTCTTGTTAGCATGTGGCTATCATGAAATCTATTTATCTTAGATCTATTGGATAGTCCTCTTGTCAGATTGTGGTTATAGAAAGGCTTCATCCTATATCTCTTTGGAAGCCCTCTTGTTGGGCAGTAGTTTGTATAGAATATCTCTGCCCCAGGTCTCTCAGGAAACACTCTTGTCAGCCTGTGGTTAGTATATGATGTCTGGACCCAGATCTCTCAAAACACTCCTGTCAGCCTGTGGTTAGTATATGATGTCTGGACCCAGATCTCTCAAAACACTCCTGTCAGCCTGTGGTTAGTATATGATGTCTGGACCCAGATCTCTCAAAACACTCCTGTCAGCCTGTGGTTAGTATATGATGTCTGGACCCAGATCTCTCAAAACACTCCTGTCAGCCTGTGGTTAGTATATGATGTCTGGACCCAGATCTCTCAAAACACTCCTGTCAGCCTGTGGTTAGTATAGAATTTCTTTATCCTAGATCTCTTGGGAAGCCCCAGTGTCATCCTGTGGTTTGTATAGAATTTCTTTATCCTAGATCTCTTGGGAAGCCCCAGTGTCATCCTGTGGTTTGTATAGAATTTCTTTATCCTAGATCTCTTGGGAAGCCCCAATTCCCTATCTTGTGGTTTGTATAGAATTTCTTTGTTCTAGACATCTTGGGAAGCCCCAGTGTCATCCTGTGGTTTGTATAGAATTTCTTTATCCTAGATCTCTTGGGAAGCCCCAGTGTCATCTTGTGGTTTGTATAGAATTTCTTTGTTCTAGATCTCTTGGGAAGCCCCAGTGTCATCCTGTGGTTTGTATAGAATTTCTTTATCCTAGATCTCTTGGGAAGCCCCAGTGTCATCCTGTGGTTTGTATAGAATTTCTTTATCCTAGATCTCTTGGGAAGCCCCAGTGTCATCCTGTGGTTTGTATAGAATTTCTTTGTTCTAGACATCTTGGGAAGCCCCAGTGTCATCCTGTGGTTTGTATAGAATTTCTTTATCCTAGATCTCTTGGGAAGCCCCAGTGTCATCCTGTGGTTTGTATAGAATTTCTTTGTTCTAGATCTCTTGGGAAGCCCCAGTGTCATCCTGTGGTTTGTATAGAATTTCTTTATCCTAGATCTCTTGGGAAGCCCCAGTGTCATCCTGTGGTTTGTATAGAATTTCTTTATCCTAGATCTCTTGGGAAGCCCCAGTGTCATCCTGTGGTTTGTATAGAATTTCTTTATCCTAGATCTCTTGGGAAGCCCCAGTGTCATCCTGTGGTTTGTATAGAATTTCTTTATCCTAGATCTCTTGGAATTTCTTTATCCTAGATCTCTTGGGAAGCCCCAATTCCCCATTTTGTGGTTTGTATAGAATTTCTTTATCCTAGATCTCTTGGGAAGCCCCAGTGTCATCCTGTGGTTTGTATAGAATTTCTTTATCCTAGATATCTTGGGAAGCCCCAGTGTCATCCTGTGGTTTGTATAGAATTTCTTTATCCTAGATCTCTTGGGAAGCCCCAGTGTCATCTTGTGATTTGTATAGAATTTCTTTATCCTAGATCTCTTGGGAAGCCCCAATTCCCCATTTTGTGGTTTGTATAGAATTTCTTTATCCTAGATCTCTTGGGAAGCCCCAGTGTCATCCTGTGGTTTGTATAGAATGCCAGATCTCTTGGGAAGCCCCAGTGTCATCTTGTGGTTTGTATAGATCTAGATCTCTTGGGAAGCCCCAGTGTCATCCTGTGGTTTGTATAGAATTTCTTTGTCCTAGATCTCTTGGGAAGCCCCAGTGTCATCCTGTGGTTTGTGTAGAATTTCTTTATCCTAGATATCTTGGGAAGCCCCAGTGTCATCTTGTGGTTTGTATAGAATTTCTTTATCCTAGATCTCTTGGGAAGCCCCAGTGTCATCCTGTGGTTTGTATAGAATTTCCCATCTTGTGGTTTGTATAGAATTTCTTTATCCTAGATCTCTTGGGAAGCCCCAGTGTCATCTTGTGGTTTGTATAGAATTTCTTTATCCTAGATATCTTGGGAAGCCCCAGTGTCATCTTGTGGTTTGTATAGAATTTCTTTATCCTAGATCTCTTGGGAAGCCCCAGTGTCATCTTGTGATTTGTATAGAATTTCTTTATCCTAGATCTCTTGGGAAGCCCCAGTGTCATCTTGTGATTTGTATAGAATTTCTTTGTTCTAGATATCTTGGGAAGCCCCAGTGTCATCTTGTGATTTGTATAGAATTTCTTTATCCTAGATCTCTTGGGAAGCCCCAGTGTCATCTTGTGATTTGTATAGAATTTCTTTATCCTAGATCTCTTGGGATTGTATAGAATTTCCCTAGATCTCTTGGGAAGCCCCAGTGTCATTTTGTGGTTTGTATAGAATTTCTTTCTCCCAGATATCTTGGGAAGCCCCAGTGTCATCTTGTGGTTTGTATAGAATTTCTTTGTTCTAGATATCTTGGGAAGCCCCAATTCCCCATCTTGTGGTTTGTATAGAATTTCTTTATCCTAGATCTCTTGGGAAGCCCCAATTCCCCATCTTGTGGTTTGTATAGAATTTCTTTATCCTAGATCTCTTGGGAAGCCCCAATTCCCCATTTTGTGGTTTGTATAGAATTTCTTTCTCCCAGATATCTTGGGAAGCCCCAGTGTCATCTTGTGGTTTGTATAGAATTTCTTTGTTCTAGATCTCTTGGGAAGCCCCAGTGTCATCTTGTGGTTTGTATAGAATTTCTTTATCCTAGATCTCTTGGGAAGCCCCAGTGTCATCCTGTGGTTTGTATAGAATTTCTTTGTTCTAGATCTCTTGGGAAGCCCCAGTGTCATCCTGTGGTTTGTATAGAATTTCTTTGTTCTAGATCTCTTGGGAAGCCCCAGTGTCATCCTGTGGTTTGTATAGAATTTCTTTATCCTAGATCTCTTGGGAAGCCCCAGTGTCATCTTGTGGTTTGTATAGAATTTCTTTATCCTAGATCTCTTGGGAAGCCCCAGTGTCATCTTGTGGTTTGTATAGAATTTCTTTATCCTAGATCTCTTGGGAAGCCCCAGTGTCATCTTGTGGTTTGTATAGAATTTCTTTATCCTAGATCTCTTGGGAAGCCCCAGTGTCATCCTGTGGTTTGTATAGAATTTCTTTATCCTAGATCTCTTGGGAAGCCCCAGTGTCATCCTGTGGTTTGTATAGAATTTCTTTGTTCTAGATCTCTTGGGAAGCCCCAATTCCCCATCTTGTGGTTTGTATAGAATTTCTTTATCCTAGATCTCTTGGGAAGCCCCAGTGTCATCTTGTGGTTTGTATAGAATTTCTTTGTTCTAGATATCTTGGGAAGCCCCAATTCCCCATCTTGTGGTTTGTATAGAATTTCTTTATCCTAGATCTCTTGGGAAGCCCCAATTCCCCATTTTGTGGTTTGTGTAGAATTTCTTTCTCCCAGATATCTTGGGAAGCCCCAATTCCCCATCTTGTGGTTTGTGTAGAATTTCTTTGTCCTAGATATCTTGGGAAGCCCCAATTCCCCATCTTGTGGTTTGTGTAGAATCTCTTTGTCCCAGATCTCTTGGGAGGCCCCATTCCCCATCTTGTGGTTTGTGTAGAATTTCTTAATCCCAAATCTCTTGTCAGCTTGTATATAGTTTAGTATGACTTTCAAACCAAAGTCTCTTTAGTAGCCCTTCATTTCTGCCAGGTCGTTGTTAGGGTAGTATCTCTAATAAGCCAATCTTATAGTTAAGAGCACCAGACTTTTGGCCCGTCATATTAGGATAGTTAACAGATACAATTCAATGTTATTCGTACAAATACAGCAAATTGTTTTGATAAAAATTACATTATTACAACAAGAATGAATTGTAATTCAATAATATGTAAATATTGAACATATTTCGGGTTGCCCAAGTTTAGCGATAGGCTGAATTCATGGTGGGAAATAATTTAAAGATTGTAAGCATGACATTGAAAAAGAGCCCTTGGATATTGACAGTCAATTCCATACAAAAATAATTTTTTTTATTTTTTCATGTTTCAGGCTACCAATGAATTATGTTGTGCTGCTTCTCAGTGTTATCATCTGTACTGTTATACTGGTAGTTTGGAGGGATCCAAAGACATCAACAGGAGAGTCAGATACACTGACGTAAGTAATGACAGGGGGTCTCTAGATACACTGATGTAAGTAATGACAGGGGGTCTCTAGATACACTGATGTAAGTAATGACAAGGGACCTCTAGATACACTGATGTAAGTAATGACAGGGGGTCTCTAGATACACTGACGTAAGTAATGACAGGGGGTCTCTAGATACACTGACGTAAGTAATGACAGGGGGTCTCTAGATACACTGACGTAAGTAATGACAGGGGGTCTCTAGATACACTGACGTAAGTAATGACAGGGGGTCTCTAGATACACTGACGTAAGTAATGACAAGGGACCTCTAGATACACTGACGTAAGTAATGACAGGGGGTCTCTAGATACACTGACGTAAGTAATGACAGGGGACCTCTAGATACACTGACGTAAGTAATGACAGCGGGTCTCTAGATACACTGACGTAAGTAATGACAGGGGACCTCTAGATACACTGACGTAAGTAATGACAGGGGGTCTCTAGATACACTGACGTAAGTAATGACAGGGGGTCTCTAGATACACTGACGTAAGTAATGACAGGGGGTCTCTAGATACACTGACGTAAGTAATGACAGGGGGCCTCTAGATACACTGACGTAAGTAATGACAGGGGGTCTCTAGATACACTGACGTAAGTAATGACAGGGGGTCTCTAGATACACTGACGTAAGTAATGACAGGGGGTCTCTAGATACACTGACGTAAGTAATGACAGGGGTCTCTAGATACACTGACGTAAGTAATGACAGGGGGTCTCTAGATACACTGACGTAAGTAATGACAGGGGGTCTCTAGATACACTGACGTAAGTAATGACAGGGGGTCTCTAGATACACTGACGTAAGTAATGACAGGGGGTCTCTAGATACACTGACGTAAGTAATGACAGGGGGCCTCTAGATACACTGATGTAAGTAATGACAGGGGGTCTCTAGATACACTGATGTAAGTAATGGCAGGGGGTCTCTAGATACTGAATATGTGAACCTTCAATGCACTGAAACATAGCATGGTTGGGAATCTCGACATGAGACATAGCTGGGGACCTCCAGTACACTGACATGAGGCATAGCTGGGGACCTCCAGTACACCGACACAAGTTGAGGAAAGGGACATTAAGTATATACATAAGTCTATCAAAGGTCTTTACATACAAGATATTACTTGATGCCTCCGAGCACTGGTTCAGACTTAGCCATAGTCTCTAATTTAGTGTTAAGTGTAAGGCAATTTTCATCCTGTAAAAGTATGGCGTTATTTTGATAACAGGATTTAATATATGTACTATCTAAATACACTCTCTCAAGTTTGCATGATATCATCCTGGATTAAACGTATTGATGATTTTCTTTTCTTGCTTTTCAATAGAAAACTGTTTTGTTGGTATGGAGAACGTGATACCTTGATCAATAAAATATTTGTGTATTATCTTTTCAGTGCTATTCCAGAGCTGAGCATAAATAATTACTACGTTTTCCTGTACATAATGGGAGGAATACACAACTTCTTGTGCCTCCTTATATACGTCACGTTCCTCATCTCCAACAGTCCCACATTTCCACCCTGGAATATGTTTCTACGACTGATGTAAGTTCTTTAAAATTCTTCATTTTTTATTCTAAATTAACCTGATACCAACAGGTACAGCCATTCTGTTCTGTTGAAGTTGTTTGATGCTGAACGCTGATGAAAATTCTCTAACTGTATCAACTGTATGGTATTTTGGAACGTAATTCAACTGGATTAGATCATACAATATTTTGATATTATTTCAAACTGGATAAGATGTTTTATTATTTTGAATCTTAATTCAAACAGAGTTAGATCATACAGTATTTTGAAATTAATTCAAATTGGACAAGATGTTGGAGTATTTTTAAACTTGATTCAAATTGGCTTAGATAATCCAGTAAATTGAAAATTAATTCGAACTTAATAAGAGATTACAATCTATAAAAATGATTAGCAGCTGACAGGAATTGATGAGTATTATATATAGTTACTTAAATGTGTGTTTTACTTATGTACAGAGGAAAGAATAAGGATGATGACATGGAGTTCAAATCATGGCACGAGAAAAAGTTGGAATCGCATTTAGAGGTCAAAATCTACAGCTTCAAATCCCTGTATTATCTGGTATGTAACTCATTATTGACTTGTTCAAATAACATTCATAGGGTGACAGCATCACTGTCAGTCCTAGAAGAACACAACATCTCAATGATGTACTGTTTTATTTCTTGTTTGTGCTGTATCTACCTGGTAATTGTAAATTTTGTATCTGTGGTATGGTATTCATGTACAATATTATTGATAAAAGGTGGTAGACACTGCTGGTATACTTCTGTCCCTGACGTTTGTCTCCGGCTGGATACCATCTTACAATTCAGAATATACATCACATGTTCTGATGAAAGCATACATATACAGTGATGAAATTTATTAAATTCTTTGGCTAGTACACTTTCCAATCTAAGATTTCTTTCGTTCAATTTTGTTTCATGTCAGTTGCTTCTTAAGTTCAAAATAAAGGCATTTAGCATCAGTGGCACGTCCTGCTAGAAAAAACTAATAATATAATATCTTTGGTCTGATTCTGTACAAAAATTAGAAACACTAATAACAAAACCACAGCTAAAACTTAAAAATCTATGAAAATTATGATTGCAAAAAAGATATCATGATTGCACAATTTAATTTGCTGTATCCCTCAACAACACAATTGTCATATTAATCTATGCTCATGTGAAGTTTCATTCAAGTCCCACCCATAATTTTCAAGAAATATGCAGGAAACCTTGCAGCAGAAAAATAGATACAGAGTGAAAATATCCCCTTCTTATTTTAGGAGGACTTAATTGTAATAAATAAAGAATCAGTGAATGTTCTTTACTCTTAAGGAAAGGCTTTTTGTTTCAGGTTTTCCTGGCACTCTCCATACTTGGGACAATATTCCATGGGTACTTTTTTGCTTTCCACCTCCTCCATATTGCAGAGCTCAACCAGCTGCTGAAGCGGGTGATACTGGCAGTCACCACCAACGGTAATGTTTCCTTGTTATTGAATTCTCGATCAATGTTGACCTGTTAACTACTTGTAAAAATGTTCACACATCTGTAATGTTGTATAAAAGTTTCCATACATCTGTAATGTTGTATAAAAGTTTCCATACATCTGTAATGTTGTATAAAAGTTTTCACACATCTGTAATGTTGTATAAAAAGTTCCATACATCTGTAATGTTGTATAAAAAGTTCCATACATCTGTAATGTTGTGTAAAAGTTTTCATACATCTGTACTGTTGTATAAAAGTTTCCATACATCTGTAAATGTTATATAAAAGTTTCCATACATCTGTAATTTTGTATAAAAGTTTCCATACATCTGTAATGTTGTATAAAAGTTTTCATACATCTGTAATGTTGTATAAAAGTTTTCACACATCTGTAATGTTGTATAAAAGTTTTCATCTGTAAATGTATAGATTATGTCAAAGTTCAATTACAACAGAAGCTTATGCAGTTACTATACCCTTGAATTTGCTCTCATCTCAGGTTTACTGAAAAACTATTTTAGGGAAAGTCATTATAGTATATCTTAAATGTATTTATTGGAAATGATTCTTTTTAAAAGAAAGAAAAAATGGTATAATTCACTTCTTTGATTGACTTTTTTTATATTTATCATTCTTACTGATATTGTTAGAATATCATGTTAAAGGTTCCCTGAAGATTAGATATGAATTGGTTTAACTGTATTTCACTCATTGGAAATTTTTGTTACAGGAAAATCACTGTTGATGGTAACACTTCTTGGTTTAGCCATCCTTTTCATTTACTCACTGGTGGCATTTGCTCTCCTTCGAGAAAAGTACTTCCAAGAAATTAACGGACGACACTGTCGGACAGTGGGCCAGTGTTTCCTCACCATGATACATCATGGTCTAGTGGATAGTCCTTACACGGTAAATGTGCACACAAGTCATCAACATATTGATAATCACTTGATGAGAGTTATTCCATTAAGTATCTATCCCACGCCAGGACGCCATATTCAGTTTAGCACTATCACACACAAAAGTTAATAATTTGATAAGTGGATAGTTTAAATAGAAGTAATAGCCATAAACCTGAACCATGGATACAAGTAAGTTAATTTGGTATCCTGGAGTCAGGTAGATGTTTTTCTGTGGTAGACCTGAAAATATAAAAGGGCTTTGACCTTGTTAAAGAAATAACATGTTAACTTGGTATAAGGATAACTTGACACATTTGTGTTCATTCCTATAGATTGCTTGCAGTGATTTCTCCCAACTCTCTATATGCAGGTTCTCTTTCTTGTTCATTTCAGACTATAGAGGCAGAAATGAACAACAACAGTTACACAGATGTGTTGATGTTGACCGTCTTTGATGTGACGTTCTTCATCCTCATTACAACTATTGGTCTCAACATCATATTCGGTATCATTGTGGATACGTTCTCTCAGCTCAGAGACTCAAAGGTATGTTGTCCAAATATACTGCTCCAGGTTGGTTCATTTGATCCCAGGACAATATACTTGAATCTTGATCTACTAGTCTACCCCTCTGTGTCCGTCCAAAGGTGATAGGAAATTGTCTGATGCCACACTTCTAGAGAAGCAAAGATTAATCTGTAGCTTACTGGCTAATCTAACGATTGGATTTGAGCATAAACTTAAATGGTTGTTTTTAAAGTGTTATGTTCGTAAGGATGGGATGTAATCAAAATATCAATTTCATAAAGAAAACCATGGTCTATTTCCTGACCTTCCAGAAAAAGTTTTCATTTTTGATTCAAGGTTTTATTGTAATCAAAACGAATACACCATTGTCTTGAAATTAACAACATATTAAAACCAATGATATTGTTAACATTCTTCTTCACTTTAAAGTAGTACAATTGAAATTTCAATAACAATTCTTCCCTTTTTCTTTTCTGAGATATTAAAATGTGACTTTCTGACTATTGTGCTTTTAGTGGGAGATAGACAAAGACATGTTGAACAACTGTTTCATCTGCAGCCGTGAGAGCTATGACTTTGAGAGACAGGGTGGTGTAAGTATATCATTCAGACATATTCAATTGAAGGTTTAGTTCAATGTAAAATTAGAAATTCATATCTTGAAACAGAAAATATTATATTGGATCTGTATTATAAGATCAACAATATAAAAACTTGATTTGGCTAATACTGAATGTTGTGTACTTAGCTGAATCATGCAGTACTTTTTGTAAGAACTTTCAAAAAGTTGCTTAGAAATGTTGGGGTTTTATTTTCTTAAGAAAAAAAATATTATGCGCAAACAATTTTTTTTCTTTCGTCTTTTTGTTTATCTGGAATATTGTGTTTTGACTTTAAAATGTGATTAACAGGGATTTGAGAAACATGTGAAGGAGGAACACAACCAATGGGCTTATCTGTTCTTCTTCATACACCTGGACGAGACACGCCCAAATGACTACTCCGCTCTGGAACTCTATGTCTTTAAAATGGTAAGTTGTCGCATCCAAAGCTACTGGCAAAAAGTGACTGATAAATGTTGTAGCACACCACATACCTCTGATATCCTAAATTTGATTTGAAAAAGGTGGTTGTTTGTAAGAAAACATTATATATCAAATCATTTATTTGTTTCTCATATATCAGTTTATTATATTTACCTATGTTTGGTGAGGCAGATTGTACCGTGTGTGATACACAGTTCTTGCCAGTACAATGCGTGTAGTTTTTAATTATATTGACAATGTATATAGGTAAATTCATACTCAATTTGAATGTATCTTTAACTTATATTGCTAACTTATAATATCATATTTCTTCCTTTGGTCTAAATCTATTTTCAATGCTAGTGCAAGAGTAAAAATTCTTTCAAAAATTTCTCTTTATGGAAAGTATCTTTTTTTAGCCCACCATCTAATAGATGGTGGGTTATTCAAATCGCCCTGCGTCCGTCGTCCGTCCGTCCGTCCGTAAACAATTCTTGTTACCGCTATTTCTGGAAAAGTACTGGATGGATCTTTCTAAAATTTCATATGCAGGTTCCCCTTGGTCCCGAGTTGTGCATTGTACCTTTTTTGGACTGATTCGCATTCAAGATGGCCGACAGGTGGCCATCTTGGATTTTGGAAGTAAAAGTTTGTTACCTCTATTTCTGGAAAAGTACTGGATGGATCTTTCTCAAATTTCATATGCAGTTTCCCCTTGGTCCCTAGTTGTGCATTGTACCTTTTTTGAACTGATTCGAATTCAAGATGGCCGACAGGTGGCCATCTTGGATTTTGGAAGTAAAAGTTTGTTACTGCTATTTCTTGGAAAGTACTGGATGGATCTTTCTCAAATTTCATATGCAGTTTCCCCTTGGTCCCTAGTTGTGCATTGTACCTTTTTTGGACTGATTCGAATTCAAGATGGCCTACAGGTGGCCATCTTGGATTTTGAATGTAAAAGTTTGTTACTGCTATTTCTTGGAAAATACTGGATGGATCTTTCTCAAATTTCATATGCAGGTTCCCTTTGGTTCCAAGTTGTGGATTATACCTTTTTGGACTGATCCGAAATCAAGATGGCTGACAGGCAGCCATCTTGGATTTTGAGAGTAAAATCTTGTTACTGCTATATCTGAGGAAGTCCTGGATGGATCCTTCTGATATTTCATAGATATTGGTTTCCCTTGGTCCCTAGTTGTGCATTGTACCTTTTTTGGACTGATTTGAAATCAAAGTGGCCCACAGGCAGCCATCTTGGATGTCGACAGTAATACAGCACAAGCATATTGTCCATTATCCACCTGTAACTGACTGCTTTCTAATAATACTTTGGGATTTTTTTCAAATGATATTTGCTAATAGGTGCTTAATAAAAATATCTTGTGCCATCATTGAGTACATTCAATGAAGACCAGTTCATGGACATTTACAACACCTGTAACAAACAAAAAAAAATAAACAAATCTTCAAGAACTGAAAACAGATCCTCAAATGGTGGGCGCCAAGATCCCTCTGGGATCTCTTGTTTTGGTTAACAATACCATTCTAATACTTGTGTTTCTAATTTGCTCATACAGTTACAGACAGCTAAGTTTGACTTTTTCCCACTGAACCGTGCTCTCAGTCTCCAGAACGAGGAGGACACAAACGAGAGAAAGCTGGAGCAACTGCGCATCTCCGTCGAATACATGGTCAACAAGATGAAGGAGGAGGTAAGTATATATATATATATAGATCACATCATCAGATGAACTTGTTAAGTTCAACTGTAAATGGACTATATTTTTTTCTGAAATAATTACATATTTATATATACATATATTCTATTCTGTCACATTTCAGTTGAAAGTATTAACTTGAGACAAAATTTTTAACAATAGATCAGTCAATTATTGCTCTCACCAGCTTGTCTTCAGAATCCAAAAATTCCAAATTTTTTTGTAAAAAACTTCTACTACAAAATCATTGTTGGTACACCTCTTTAAAATGTCTGAAAATCAATATTTACTTTGATGAAGTGAATATTTTGTGATCTTCCTGTTTAGAAGAAATTTGAAGACATCCATATTCACAACAACTGTAAATCAGTTACCTATCTTAAGCTCATTTATGTATCAGTAAATCTGTAGAGACGCATTTTGTTGCCTAAAAAGATGAATTATAGGGATAACTTGTCAGAATGTGCTATTATCCAAACTAGGGTTTGATGTCCTATTATCCAAAACAAGGTTTCCTCATGATAGGTCAAGTTTCCTTAAACCCTGAATTTTCTTTATTTTTCTTTGCTCATGTAACCTGTACTTTCTAATTCCCAGGAGGCAGCACGAGAGCGAGAGAAGGAAAAACGGAGACAGTTGGCATGGGAACAGCAACACAGGAAGTAGATGGCAGTGTAACTTATGGACATAACACTGTGAAGAATGTATCTAATTTGTTTTGTATGCCAATTAAAGCATGACCATCACCATCTTGTGGACTTTCGACAATCCTTGAGAAGTGTTTGTGATATTTTCTGTAACTGGTTGTGTACATGTGATATTTTCTTAGTATAATAATTCAGTGCTTTCCTCAATCACTTGAATTCTCATTGTAAGACACATCCGTCTATAGATTGTTTCTAGGCCTTCAGATGAAACTTACAAGGTCACTAAATTCAATACTTTCAAAGGAAGACACATTATATTGCTAATTTGTGCCAAATGAGTTCACACATGTATTTTGTTTCAATGTTTGATTACCATATGGTGTAATTTTACTTGATAAAACGGACCGTGACTTAACAGAACTTCAATAGTTTTGTTTGTCAGGTATATCCAGTGTACTTTATAATGATCCTTGTTATTTAGATTTTGTGTTAGAATGTTGAAAAATATCAATTAGAAATTGAAAATAGTTACTGAAATAGAACCATATAGAATCAGTGCTCCCTTTTTTCTAGATGCTCATTAAAGTATTGTGAATTTATAGACCACTGTAAGCTTTGACTGATTAAACGATGATTTCAAAGATGTTTCTTCCTCTGTAAAGTATATTTTATTTGTGATATATAATGTATTTATTACTACATAATTTATTTATGAATTCATATTTAAGATTAAGGACCTTGTGAAAAGATATTCTCATTATGATTACAAGTTACTTACAATTATAGTACCATCATACAGAAATGACGGACTGATAATGAACACAATTTTGGAAGATAATACAAGTATGAACAAATGATAGTTGTTTTTGTAAAACTGTATCACCACTTTAAATACTAAAAATTAAAGTTTCATTTGACAACAGACTGAAACGCATTTAAATTTTTAGTTTAATTGTTAACATAATACTCTGTCTTTACTTTATAATGTAGGACAGTTTGCCAAGTTTTGGAAAACTAGTGCTTTTTTATTTTAACATTTCATTTTATGAAGGTACATCTATGACTGTAATTATATATTCATATATATTTTTGTATTTTATGTCCCAAGTATAATAGCTGTTGTTATGTATCTATATTAATATATAACTTATTTCAGTTTTATCATGTGAATATAAATGAGTTTAAAATGTCTCAATTATGATCATATATTGTGCAATTATTTTTTCAAGAATGCTTGATGAATGTGACTATGAAGCTTTAATTTATGAAAGACTGTATTCCTAGATTCGTATCTTGATACTGTTTCATCAAGTTATAAAAGCATTCAAGATTTATTAAATATATATATGTTTATTAAGATGAACAAACTAAAACAAATTTCTGAAGGTTCACAGTAATCTTTTGATTGAATTGGCAGTGTGTATTCTTGAGACTTGAGTAAGGAAACACTGGGCCGTTTTCATTTACCAGGTTGTGAAGTTACACTAGGGTGATTTTTTGTAGGAAATAAGGACAGATCTATATAATCTTATTTTACTTTCTGAGGCATGTATCAGTATCTGTAGATCTGTCCTGATTTACATCTGAAATGTTACATTCAAAATATTGATGAAACTTTTTTCTGCATAAATTATCTAATGCGACCTTATCTGTGACTGTTGTCCAAATTCATAATAAATTTAAACTTTTTTTTTTATTTTATACAAATTGTACTATTTTAATACAGTTCTGAGTCCTTAATGCAAAAATGATGTTACGCTTTCTCAAAACTTGTATCATTTACATTTCAAACTTTCTTAAATTGAAATTGTATAACATCCCCATCAAACTTTGATTTTTAATATGGACTACTGGGTATTTAAATGTTTTTATCAAATAACAAACCTATAGTATATTTCTTGTTGCTCTTTTTAGTATTTATTGAAATTTCTAGTCTATTTGCTTTATAGTTATTGCATGTTTATATATCAATTCAACTTCTGATCTTTGTACATGTGACTTACAGAAAGATGTTCTGTACCAAGAATCATTTATTTTATTATAATAAATAAGATCATTATTAAAATACCCATGACATCAGTGACATTTGATGTCATTTACATATTTCTACTTTATACAAAAAGAATTGCATATTGTAAATTTGTTTTATGTACTGCTGTCTTGACAAATTGAAAATCCTTTTCAGGAATTTTGAACTTGCAGCTTTACAGGTAGCTATTTTTGTTCCTGTCAAGTTATATCAGTATTAATAGACAATCTCCACATTGCTGCTAACAACATTTGTTATAAATGGTATAATTCTGTAATTAGTTACTAAGATATGAAAGTTGAAAGAATGAATTATTCAGTAATTTTCTCCAGGTCTCTGTTACAATCAAGATGGAACATCAGATCAGGATGATACGAGTTCTATTCCTAGCTCAATGATAGCTTTTTATAAGGTTAAGAAATGCCAGCTCATTGTTTCAATAAATCAGGGTAAATGACAAGACATAATTTCAATAGCCTTTGTATACAGTTGTTTCTTATCAAAGACAGGAAGCACTTCTATTTAATCGCATGGTTAAAATCATTATGTAATTGTAGAATACGTTTTTGTATCGTTTTTATCAGTACATTGTTGTATCTCTATGTTTGTTAAGTCTAATTGTCAAGGGCTCTTCTTTTTTCAAATAAAATCTACCATGACTCCTATGATTTGTTTATTTTACATTTTTACTCATCTGATCCTAAAGACAGGTTCCTGTCGGCTCATCTGGCCATAGCACAGAATCCAGTCCCAGTTTGTTGATTAAAAAAAAATCACAAGTGAGAATCAAACGCTGATTTTGTTCAAATTTGGTGTAGAGCATATTTATGTGAAGGAGCCTTGATTGGAAATAGAAAGTTGGATCTTGGCACCCTGTGACCAGAGGGGCAGGTCCAATGATTTAGATACTTCTAATTCTGAAAAAATCTTCTTCACAATGATAAGAGGACTTTCATTCAAACTTGGTCTGAGGTACCCTAGGTGAAGGTGACAGTCTTACATAACCGATGGGGCTAGGCTCCCCCCTCAGAACCCAGGAAGAGAGGGTTTGTCACAATAAGGAAAATAAAGGGACATTTTTAAAATCCTACAGTTGGGATGGAGGCGTTTTGATCTGATGTGACCAGAAGCAGACACGTACACCTCTATTGAGATATCTGTCAAATGATCCTTAGGGAAAGAGGAGCTAGACTTTTTGTATAAATGGTAGGTTGGGGCCTGTTATACAAAAGGGCTATTTGTAACTATAGCAGAACTTATTTTTCCAGCATCTGGCTGCAGTAGATTAATAACATTAGTGAAGACGTTTGACTTTTTAGGTAAGTCTGCACACAAAATACAATAATGAAGAGAAGAATAAAGGGGAATGGTAAATCATGTAAATGGGGACAAAAGTCTTACGCAATGACCTAAGGCCCTTGAGAAATTTAGAGAAAAAATTGAATGGATAATAAAGCACAACTTTTTTAACTGAAATATTTTGTATTGAATATCCAAAGCAGTATAAAAAGTAAGACAATAAATGGGTGCCTTACCTAATCCACCAATCTACTATGACTGTTAAAATTAGTTTTTTGATTTCTGACTATCACCAAGGCACAATACAAACAAATGTGCCATGACTATCCCAACTTGATAGAGGAAGGACTTTTACAATGCTCATGATTGGTAGCACTTAATTATTAGCAGGTCGCTACTCACTTCTGAGTTCATAAATTGACAGTTTTAGGTTTCAATAACGGCAGGAAATACAATTGGTAATGGAAACTGTCAAATCCACCCTAAAAACTTTTGAGAAATAGACTGCGAGAAGCAAGTTTATGTCTGTTTCGCCAATATGCCACTAACAACATCAAGCATGTTGTATGCGATGGTTGACAGCACATGTGCCCAGATGTTTCCCTATGCTTTTCATAGACAAAACTTGATTCATGTTATTTCGGTCAGATGACTGCCAACATGTGTACTGGTGTTGAGAAGAGCGAGACAGCTTTATGGGTGGTTCGATTATGGCTACACCTAAAGATAATTCCTCATTTATTAAAAATGTCTGACTATTTGAAGATGGATTGTCCAATATTTAAACTTAACTACTGCTGTTCATTCATAGGCATATTGCTCCTTAATATTATTTCATTAAATCGTCAAGTTCTTGTTGGGTTTCTTTTACCTCCCAGTGTATATATTCTATGATTTAGATACGAGATTAAGATGGGATGTAGGGCACAGCATGAAATTACACTTTCATTTCTGACATTTGATGTCACATTCACAACCCCTCTCCAAAGTGTATAATTTTGGTGTGATGTTTATATCAGTAAACATAGAATCAAAAGTTGGCTCGTACCATTGGTGATCGATTTACCATTTTGTTGGTAGAGATGCGATCTCAAGGTCATGTTTGGTGAAGACTGACACTCAGTACATTACTCAACCACAGCAGTTAAACAAAAAATGCATATGTTACAAAAGGATAAGTGTTTTACATGTCAAAGTCGGAAAAAATTAGTAAGATGGTAAAATAAATTAAAACAAATGTTGTCCGCTTTGATTTAATTTCTTATTCTACATGCTTCCAAGTACATGTAGAAAATTATGGATATATAGATCTATCCACAGGACGTGTATATGTAACACCACAAGTTCTAGAGTTGCTTGGGTGTGGAGCTGCACCGTGTCACTACAAGCATGCGTATTGATATGTGCTGATAATTCTACAATAAGATATGACATTTACAAAGTGTACTTGTTTGAATTCATCTGGGTTACTTATTAATATATTTTTTCGTTCCCCAAAAATGAAAAAATTAAAAAACAATTTAAACTATGTCATATTGCCAAATGTATATAAATTCCTGTGGATTATGACAGTTGTTTTCACCACTGATCAAAATTATACTTTTTATTTTCTGTTTCGAACATCACCAATAATTCCTTTGTATCGACATGATTTATATGAAACTTTTGACTTCTTGCAATAAATGATAATAAATATACAAGAGGCACAATGGGCTTAACGGTCATCCGAGTCACAATGCTTCTTGTAACATGCAATTGAAACGTTTTTGTTGAAAAAATATTATCTCTACTTTATAACTGTATTGTACAACATAATGCGAACATAAATTGTGTATACATAAACTACTGTCCTATGCTAAGGTTTCCAACCAAGTTTGAATCAAAAGAAATTACACTAAAGATATGAATTTTTCTATATGAACTCTTCCAGCCGGGAACAGTAGAACATCTTTCAAATTTCTGTCAATTTGTTCCTGTTTTTGGACCAGCCCATCAGTCCCTGGAGGTCAGTCAAGGTCAATATGTGCATCTCATCAAACTGGCAGCTAATATTAATTAAAAAATCCGAACTAGTTTGAACTATTTCTGAAGGAAATTAAACAAATCATGATCAAATATGTAAGTTTTCCTCTGAAAAATAAAGCAAATTTTTCCCCCTTCCCAAGGGGAAATGAGATCATGGAGTCATGTTATTTACAATTCGTATAAAGAACCACAAGGCACTTCAATTCATAAAGACTATTTGGTTTTACATTTATAGAGATTGAGAAGATTTTTGAAATGTCCTGTATATACTAGAGTAATCTTTACTCCCTCCCGGAGAACATGCGAGACCATAAGGTCATGAAATGTGCAGCTCTGGTGAATCGTCTTAAGGCATTTCCATCCATGAAAAGTACCCGAAATCAAATTTACCCTTTTTGGTCCCGCCACTCGGAGGCCATGGGTCTTTGAGATTATATCATTTACAATTTTGGCGCGCCTTAAGCTGTGGAAGGTTTTCGTAAAAACCGGTTCGGGAGTTTCTCTTAGAAGTCAAAAATGTTTAAAGTTTACTGCGTACAACGAACGACGCCGGACAAACGGGAATCGCGAAGTCACAAATGACCTGAAATACCATCGTACATGTCAAGAGTTGTAGGGGAGATAACTTGCATTGAGCTGCAAGGAACTCTTTAATTGTCAGTAAAAGAGGTAGGGAAAGGTAACTATTTCCTGTTGTTGGTGGGAGGACCTTTTAGCAAAGTGAAAGTGGCTAAAAAGACTTTTCAGCATGCAGAATATGATCAATGCGGTGAAGGGCACAGCCCTTGGCATGGCTGAGTATCTTACTCCGGTGCTGAAGGTAAGGGAGGTTGAAATATGTAACTAAGTGCAAAGAAATGAATCGCATGATCTCAGGGCTGGATGGAAAATACACTGAAATCGTGAAGTTAAATGGTCACAGGGGCTTGTTACCACTTAGATGAGGAAAAGATAATATTTTGTTATAACTGAACTTCAACCATTTTTGTGTTCTATTGCACTTGTTACGAACAGACGAGGGGATGGGGTGTGTGATGAGTCATGCTGTGTGAACAAGGAACACACATTCCTGTCGAATGCCCAGAATATTTCTATATAGTTTTACTATATATATCATTTGGAACTGCCAGTTTCATGGGTAGGGGAGCTGGACTGGGTCGGTATCCGGAAGATAAATTCGCAGAGACTCCATCTAGATTTTGGAGGGTGCCAGGCTCAAGGACAAGCTTTGTTGTGCATTTTCCCACTCCTCTTACACATAGCTTCACTCAAGTTGTTCATAAATCATTGTAAAGGAAATTTCATAAACATTCAAATATTCATGTAATTGAAGTCAAACAATTGCATGTTTCATGTCAAATTAAGACCCTTTGGCACTTTCCATTGAAAAATGTAAAAAATAAAACCAGATGCTTTATACGGAAAGACTAAGCTTTATACCAGAAGTTAGGTAAATAGAAAAATTGATGTGCTCTTTTCTTGATTAGTTAATTTTTGTAATTTTTTTTTCAATAATATATTGACAACATCATTTTGCACTATTAACATACTTGATGGTATGTTCAATATTTATTTTGTGTTGGCCAAGATAATTTTTTATCCGCTCGACTGGTTGGAAGTTCTCATCTGTGCTGCGATGACTGTTTCAACGACCACTAATTTTTTCAAACACATGATACAGTTTGTTGGTATTATTTGTGCTTTTTTAAACCACACTAAATATCCAAAAACAATATGATGAAGTCCTTGCTATAATTAACACCATATGTAATATGTGGCATGTGAGTTCCTTGCTGATAAACATCCATGTGCTATTTAATAGACACAATGTTTATGTATATATAAGATATGAAAATGCATATTTTAAACTAGTGAATTTTTAAATCAAATGAAGCAACATGTTTAAGTATTTGACAAAAGAGTCACAAAATGACAGCTTTGATATATCTGATTTTTCTGACTCAGATATTTTAGTCCAGGACTTTTTCTGTGGGACTCTCTCAAATTTTGAGACCCCATGATATCTCTTAGTATTGTGCCTCATAAAAAAGTTGGAATTGGTGTTCTGGATTTGCCTTAAAAATCCTATGGAAAATACTGTGTATATTGTTAAACCCAAGTTATTTGATACTGACAATTCTGTTGAAACTATGTTTTGTTTTTCAATTTACAGGAATCAAAGTTTAAAGAAACAGGAGTTATTACACCTGAAGAGGTAGGATTATTATGTAATCTTACAAAAATTATAGAACATCAGGGAACTGGTAATAGTAGTTCATGTAATCCTTTACATGTATAAGCAACAATTAATAAACACACTGCACAATCAATGAATCCATCTTCATATTTATCATATGAAAAATAATAAACAACATTGACATAGGGAAGGCAGGGAAGGGAAAGATAAAATAGATGTAGACCAGCAAATCAATATAGTTATGTCCTAATATAAAAAACAAAACAAAACAGAAATTGTAAAAATTAAGATCAGATACACAACATTGATTACCCATAAAATTAAATTGATGAAGTATTTGCATATCAATAGTCTTAGATTTATTCATTCCTATGAAGATCTAAAACATTGATTTTGATTGTTTGCATTAAATTATACAGTACTTGATAAGTATATTTATTTACAATGTTATCCCACTTGCTCTCCAGTCTTTCTTTGTATGAAAAATTAATTATCATGACCTCATAGATTAATTGTAATGTATAACACCTATATTCATTATAATGTCTATTTCAGTTTCTGGCTGCTGGTGAGCATATTGTCCACCACTGTCCAACATGGCAGTGGTCAGCTGGTGATGAATCAAAAACAAAACCCTACCTACCTAAGGACAAACAGTTCCTTATCACACGGAATGGTGAGTTGCTTCCCTTTAGTAATAATGATATTAATACAAGACTACAGAGATGAAGTCTCAAGTGACCTATTGCGATCGCCTTTTGTCCAGCATCATTCGTCATAAACAATTGACATTTTTGGCTTCTTCTTTATAACTGAAAGGCCCAGAATATTGATACTGGGCATGTAGCATGTTGGGATAAAGGGCTACCAAGTTTGTTAAAATGATTGACCTTGGCTGACTTTCAGGGTCACATGGTTCAAATGTGTTTAAACCTTAAAACAACTTCTTTTCAATAACCAAATTGAACCAGTAGCATGCTGGGATGAAGGGCTATCATGTTTATCTAAATGAATGGCCTTAACCTTCATTCAATGTTACAGGTTTCAAATATTCTAAACTACAACAACAGAGAGTGTTATCAGTTCTGTTTAATTGAAAATTTGCCCTGCAAACACAGAAACAAGAAAAACTTTGTAAGTATGCTTATATCAGTTCTGTTCTGTCTGCTCCAATGCTTGGACTGATCAACAGGTTCTAAAACTGTCTGAAGACCTGAAGACCTCTGTTGACTGTTAATGTCCATGGGCCTCTTGTTCTATTGACAGAATCCATCTTATTATGACCAATGTCATGTGTTGTTTTTTTATGCGTCTAGCAATGAATTGTTGGATAATCACAATCAACTGTGCTAGCACTTACAATAAGTATAACATCATTGACTATCCATCAATGTATGCAAAGATGCCTTCAATATATAAAACCAGGACTGAAAAGTGGTTGCTGAAATTTAACTAAAAAAGCACTGCAATTTGATGATATAAATTTATGTAAGAGTTTACAAAAATTCAGTTATGTCTGACCTCAAAATTCCAAGGCACTTATGATGCTGTCATGTTCCGTAAAAATGTTTTGAAAAGAACGTTTTTCTTTCCTCAGTCCCATGCTACAAGCGAGTCAAACAAGTAGACAATCATCAGGAGGACCAAGAAAAGGTTATAGAAGAGGATGAAGATGGGGGCTGGGTAGATACCCACCATTTTCCTGGTAGTGGTAGGTATCAAGGGTTCTGTACACACCCACCATTTTTCTGGTAGTGGTAGGTATAATGGGCTCAGTAAATACCTGCCATATTCCAAGTAGTTGTAGGTAACCCACAAATTGCTCAACAAACAAAAAGAAAAGGAACTATTGATTTCAGTATAAAAAATGATAAAGTCTTTGTGATATTTTTATGCAAAAGATGACTTATACCCAAATGAGATCAATTTATACTGAGGAGCTGATATTTCATCAGATTTACTGCATGTATTGTGATACGGCATCTATCGTTATTGGAGGTACATCTGTACAATACTCATGTAATGTGTTTAAGATGTAATTATGACTTTGTAACTTACGATTCCAAAATTATTTAACAGCTTCTTGTGTTCCAACTTAGACCCAGAAACTTCACAGACATAACCTAATATATCCAGATTCAAGCGTCAATTGGTTTATCTTGTTGTTTGAAACAGATTTTGTGTAGAAAAGTTGTGTTCATTCTGCTACGCTTTCAGTTATTATCAATATTAGGATTCCCGATAATTACATTTCTTGTTTTCTTTGGCAATAATTGATGATATACCCAACTTAACCTGAAGGCATTGTACCATTTATACAAACTGTATCTTTTTCCAGATGCAAACACTACTTCAATACAAGAGGCTGTCTCAGAAATGACCTTAGACAGTAAGGTATGTGATGCCTGTTGATAACAAGAGACCATGTTGCTATTTTGTCTTTTTGAACGATTTTTGGTGCTCCTCACCATTTCCTTGTTGAGGCTGTAGCAACACTTATGTTCATTCCACCCTGATTCACTGCCGTCTCTTCATTTATCTTATTTCTTTAGGGATTGTGATAAAACTTTATACAATGGTCAACTGACAATATCCCTAACGAGGCCATGTTTCAATGTTTTAGGAATTTGTCAGAAGTGATTACTGCAAACAAATTTATTTTAGGGGTACGTTTATTTTAGCTTTTTTGCAAGAAAGATATTGCATTTGATATGACAACAGTATTTGGCACTTTCTGTGTATCATTACCATAGAAATAAAATGTGAATACACAAATGTATCATGTTGTAAATTTGTCGAAAATTGAAATTGCACCAAATTAGGTATGTTTACTGTTTAATATACAAGGAGAGTGAAGGCATTCATATCTCACAAACATTTTCATTCATCTTATGTGATGATGATAAATATGGGTATATACGGTGTAGGATTACCAAGGTAAAAGAAAGCTGTGATTTCCTTTTTTGAAGATACCCAGTGGGATTGCTTTCATGTAATTTCTCTCCCAGTTCAATATTTTGTGTATCTATTATTTATCAACATGAGGAATTTAATGATAATGAATTTTGTTCCTTAACGTTTCCTCCAGGAGAGTAAAGGCTCTTCTAGTTCTCAATCCAAGGAAGATGATGACGATGATGATGACGATGATGATGAGGAAGCAATGGACATGGAGGCATTTGAGGAGAGTGGCATGCTAGAGGAGAAAGATGATGTATGTTATATGAAGCATGAGAAACATTTAAGATATTGCTGTGTTATTTTGTTGGTGTATTTAGAGATTTCACAGGAAAAAACTAAATATGACAGAAAAGTTTTTTAAATGATGGCTGATAGTTTAAAAAAATGAAAATATAGCAATACCGTATTTTGTAATGATTGACAGATGATAAATATATAGCAAATTGTTGGAAAAATTGTTAAAAAGTTAATTAATTGGATTATTTCTAAGTTGACAGAACAAAACTGTTTCTATCCTCAAAAATGCATAAAACAATTATAGTGTTTAGTGTAGAGGTAATTTGAACTTGCAGACTTGAAAGTCTGTTATCATTGTTTATAAGATTTTGTTTCAATGTATTTAGTAAAAACATACAAATATAATGAATGAAAGCTTATGTATAGTTATTTTAAAATTTGCTGTCATTAATTTCAATATATACAGTCCAACTTTGTTATTTAGAGGTCAATGTGACGGTTGGAAAACTTTGAGTTAGCTGAGTATTTGATTAAAATGAAATCATCTATTTGGTGAAAAATTTGGCTGGGACAGACAAAATACTTTGAATTAAACAGGGTCTTGGAGTTGTACAAGATTTTGAGATAACAAGGTTCAACTGTATATAGATAAATACACATCTCACACTAAAATCAGTTAACTTACATGTCTTCACTTATCTGTTCTGTACATAGAGCTGATTCCCATCGTTAAAACTTTTTGGACATCAGATATTTAAAAACATTGACACAATATTGGTAGTTCATGAGCACTTCACCTGACTTTAAGTTAGTGGTAATGTGGTGTTTCATGTGACTTATTGCAATTTACTTCTGCTTCTTACCAACTTCATTAGGGTTTCCACATTTTTCAGGTGATACAGGATAATTCTTGTAAGGAGAACGTCCTTGGTTTGAACCAAAGTGGAGGCACTAGAAAGTTAATAATAAACCTCTCTTACAGCACAGCCAATGTGAAGATGCTTGGAAATACATAGCACTGTCTTACAAGTATTACTGCTCTTGTTAGCATTGTTGTTAGCCCTGCAAAAAGGACCAGATTTTAGGTAGAAGAGAACTATGTCACCCTGGTTATATCTGGTTGCTTCCTACCAGCTTGATAATGGAGAGTTTCTTTTTAGCTAGTGTAGTTTATCAAAAGTCAGATAATCAGTTGCTGACTGCAGTTTTATAGATGTGTGATAAATGTGTGAATTAAATTTATATACACATGTACATACTTAAATGTTCCTTGCTATTAAGAGAAGCTTGTCGAAAAAAATGATGTCTGAAGTACGTATGATGTTTGATGGAGACAGTTCACAAGAAAAAGATATTAAAGAATGGAATGAATATAATTCCAGGCAACACTAGATCCTAAAGTGTATGAGAGACAGGAATCAGATGGGGCAATGGGAGGAGAAAGTGGCATCCTGCAGACTCGTACTTATGATCTCAACATTACCTATGACAAGTATTACCAGACACCTAGACTTTGGTTGTATGGATATGATGAGGTACATTTTTCTCTGTTTAGAAAAATCTAAACTGTCATGTATATCCTCAACTTCTCAGATATATATTTAGAAAATAAGTAACTTTGATACAAATGAGACAAAATTGGAAAAAATAAACACAAACAGGCAGATGATGTCTCTTTTAATGTTGGTTTTTTATGCAAGTTTTAACACATGAAAATGTTACATATACTTGTATACATATGTATTTCAAGCATTATTTATCAAAATCTGAATTTTACTTTGAGATCTTGAATCTTGATCTTGTAAAAAGTATTGGAGTTTTCTAATACTTTGATTCTATAGGTTTTGCTATGTATATGTAGACATGACATGCCTTGATTTGTTTTTAGACACATCTGTAATTTTTTGTAACAGAATAGGAAACCTCTGACTGTGAATCAGATGTATGAAGACTTCAGTCAGGATCATGCTAAAAAGACAGTAACAATGGAGAGTCACCCTCACTTACCTGGTCCACCAATGGCTTCTGTACACCCCTGTCGGTAAGGAAATGAAAAATGCATTAACATTATGTGTCTTTCGGAATCGTCAGAATCATCTGCTGTCATTTTGTATCATCTTACATTTTACAAGTGATAGCTGGGGTTGTATGACTTTCTGACTCATTAGAGTCTGAAAATGCCACTTGATACATGCGCTACAAAGTGATTGCAGAGATTGTCTGAAATTTGGCTTCTTTAAGTCTGAAACTATCATTTGATGTCACTCTTTGGTTTACATAGATTTACAGTGCTGCAATTAGTTGGTAGACCATCAGATTTCACTACCTCTAGTGAAGGTGTGAGGTGTATAATTATTGTCAGGAATAATTCGTGTCTATAAGGAAGCTGATATCACAGACCATCTTGTACCATTTCACTTGTGTTGATGGGCAAGATGTCAAATGCTCAGAATGGGATGTGATGGGCCTCTGCATGAAGTTCAGTCAGGTAGCCAACCGCTTATACAATGACCCCTCCACCTCTCTTATTATGTTGAGAATCCAGTGTAAGTTATACTATGTATTTTGATATTCCAGGCATGCTGATGTGATGAAGAAAATAATACAGATGGTTGCTGAAGGTGGTGGAGACCTAGGAGTACATGTGTATCCTTGTTGCTTATCATTTACAAACAAGAGCATAGCAACACTCATTTCTTATATCATAAGTATGTGTTATTGTTTAATGTACAGTCAAACCTGTCTTGAAGGTCATGTCTGTATTACAAATACTTGTCCATAAAAATCACCTTTATATAACAAATCCTGTCTATAAAGGTCACCTCTATACAACAAACACCTTTCTATAAAAAAACATCTATACAACAAATGCCTGTCTATAAAGGTCACATCTATATAACAACTACCTGTCTATAATGGTTACCTCAATATAACAAATACCTGTCTTTAGAGACCAATGTTTTTAGGTTTTAAGTATTCTAACCTACATAATATGAAGGCTACATATTGAAACAATACTTTTCTATTCTGTCTGGAATGGCCTAGTAGATAGATTTAACTTACCAATATGGAAATAAATAACAAAAGGAACAAATAGATATATTTTTACATCCCCTGACAACCCATAGATCTGACAATTTTTGTTTGTAGGAACATTCATTGTTTATGATATTGCACCTTAAACACAACAGCTAGAAACATGTATAGAATTTCATACATGACAAGCAGTGAAAATGTGTGTGTTCGATGGCTATATATACTATGTCTTATACTTAACAAAACATACTTACCAACACGAAGAAAATGGCATAATTGGCTAAAACCTTTAATCATTGTGACTTTAAATAAAGAAATTAAAAGTCTTTGATAATCATGTTTCCTTCCTTGAAACAACAAGGTGATGAAAGTATATATTTGCATAGACTTTAACCATTCATCACATTTATTCGGGCTCAGCATGTTGAAAAATAAATTCTATGGTCATTTTGTTTTGTACCAGGATGTACATTATATTGTTTTCCTTGACTTGTGTTTAGATATTTAATGATCTTTTTGAAGTTTGTCCAAGCTGTGATACCGACTATTGAATATGACTACACAAGACATTTTACTATGTGATAACCAGCAATAAGTTTCTTACAATATTTATCTAAACATTGGGATCAAAGGACCAATTGCTATGGCAGCCAAGTATCCTAGCAACCCGCTGTAGTAATGAGGTGATGCAGTTGCTATGGTGATGTGAATACCCATCATGCTTACCCTCACCGTGCAATAGACATAATTCTATGTATGGAGGTCATATCTGTGGAAAATTCAGTAAGATTTCACTTTGCATTTATTTGAAACTTTTAAGTTTAGAGGAAAAAATTGCAGAGAAGCATCTGGTTTTTCATACTTGGTGATACTTCCAGTATACCAGATGTTCCCTGTAGTCATGTACTAATGAACAAGTGATTGTTGATGAGGAACCAGTTGATAATGTGTTAAAATTGTTATACCTATCCTTAAATAAGACTTGTTATCATGTGATCTTGTGTTTTGTTTTATCTTTAAGTCAAACCCGAGACTTCAAAAGTACAATGTCTTTCGTTCCTGGTTTGGTGTGAACATTTTTCTGATACACAAACAAAAATAGCTTTCTCAGTGTTTCTCAGTTTTTTAAGTTAGACATAATAGATACAGATGATATAACATGTTTTGTGTTTTATTTAGTAATAGTGATGCTTTTCAAATTGAAATTGCTTAAAAGTTGGAAAGTTCAAGCATCGTCTGTCTGTACAATCCAAAAGGATATATATTCAATAAATAGATGTTTTCTTATGGTGATGTTACCAGTAACAAACATGAATGGGATTATTACCAATGTTATATATAGGTATAAGAATATATGTTATACAAACACACTTGAGCATGTTAAGCTTAAGTTATTTGAATCACTACAAGTGTGGAAGGATAATAGAATTACTTTGTGGTATAGAATGTTATCTTTTAAATTCAAACAACAAATCAGATTTCATAAAGATATAAATGTGAAATTTTTCATCATGGACACATTTACAGGGTAAGTGACTACTTACAATGGGTGTTGATTATGAAATATAGTGAGATTTGCAAAGTCAGTTGAAAAACAAAATAATGCCTGCTAATTAATCATTACCAATTAGGTCAGACTGATGTCATTTTTAATCAAGTGTTGTGTTTTTAGGAGGATGGGAGTAGGTGAAGTGAGAGAAAATTTGACTGAAAATTTCAAAATAGGTCTATCACATTATATCAATTCCTTAGAGTATTTGTCAGTGAAAAATTAATCCCCTTCCAACGCAACCACTTAAAGTCAAAGTGGTGTGTTGTTCACCGGGCTTATTACAGGATAAATGTTATTTTAAGACAGGTATGAAGAAACTTTTCCAATCATTGACCCATTAACTCATCTCATCCTTTGAAGTCCCCCCCCCCTCCCATTAATATTTCTATCTATATTCCTTGATATATATATATAACTTATTTATTTTACAACAATTGTGAAACAAGTTATTTCAGCTTATACTAGACACACTTATTGGCCTGGATGTAAGCGTGCGTTTTCAGGTCCATTCCGGCAAACCAAACCCCAGATGGCTAGGTAAAAGACAAGTGTTTTACTTCAGTGCCACATGACCACCCTAGATCACACACATCACCTCCCTTTCTTAGTAAAATATGGTAACAGAGGCTAACGATGGTAACATATGTACTGTAAAAGATGTTTTTAAAAGCATGTGTTGATATTTTGCCCCCATATTATTTGGGAAAGGAGAAGACAAATAATGTTATCTGCCCTGTATGCCTGTCTTGTAGTGATAACTTACGATTTAACACAACGATCTTGCTGCCCGTCATTCAGTAGTAAATCCTGAGCTGAACAGGTCGCAATTCTTGAAATTGCCAGGTAGATTCTTGGTATTGAATTTCAAATTTTGTTCATCATTCTTCTAGATTATGTATGTTATTATATATCTGCATGTATAAAATAACCTGCTGGAAAATTGAAATCTAAAAACACTGTTGATATCTTTTTAATTCCATTTCTATGTATCTCATTGGCTTTATTTTAAATCTTTGCATAATTGTCACTTTAGGGGCGTGAACCATATGTAGGTCAGGCATTTGATTCGTCATTTGTTTTTTTCATTGCTTAATGATTATGATGGTCATGGAATAAAAAAAACCACTTCACTGTTGATATCTGTGTCTCACTAAATACATAGTTACAGATGTACATAGTATGGTCCACCATACAATGTGTTTACATCTACAGCAGTAATATATTATGTTGAGCACTCTCATTCTTATCTCCAGGAGTTACTTCCCTTCACTCTGTCACTTTGACAGCCGATGGGGGCCAAGGTTGACCACACAATGACATTGCTTCATAATGTATACCTCATCATACATGCTAAACATACTGTTACTCCTCATAAATTCATACATCAATTGTAGATATATAATGCCATGTACAGTTTATGATTTTTCAGCATCATTCTAGAAATATAGAATATAGAAATTTTGAAATGTCACCATGCCTAATGTAAATAATTTTGGTATTTGTAAGTTATAGATTTCTGTAGATCAAATCAGTTAATACACACCAGCTATATTTTTAGGTATGATTTAGGACCATTTCAAATTTCTTTGCAGTATCAGGTTAAAGTCTAGCTTCTGTTATATGGCTTTCGTTTCACATGCTGTCAGACCTGGTCGTTTTCTGATTTTCAACCACCAGGCCCCACTTGTATAAAACATCTCAACTAGAGATTTCCTCAAGTCGAGATTTTCCTCAGCTGATATCTCCTCAAAAACGGCTTGTATAAAATTTTCTCAAGGAACAGGAGGAAGTCCTCGGCTAGGATGTCCTGAAATTCCTTGAGGAATTTTCATACAAGATATTTTCAAGGAGATATCAGCTGAGGAAAATCTCGACTTTAGGAAATCTCAAGTTGAGATGTTTAATACAAGTGGGGCCAGGACAGCGCAGTTTTCCTAATCCATATGCTGTTGCTAGGAGTGCTTGCTATATAATATATAAGGCAGTTTGGTTATAATATCATGCCAAGTCCCTGTGTTAACAACGTTGACAGTTCTGGCAGTGTCTTTAACTTTGGTTTAAAATCAGATTATCTTCTTCTACTTATATATAGTAGAAAATCATTAATCAACATATTAGGCAGAATAAATATTTATTTAAGAATTGAACTGCTAAATAACCTTGATAACGATCAATACAAAGAGATGTAAACTTGATTACTATAATTGTAATATATTTGAAACCATCGACAGTTCATGATCCGGTAATACAAATTTCATTTTGGTAAAGTTATTCCATTGCCATACAATGGCAAATATTAGACTGTAAGTGACGTTGCTGATACTTTTATTATGACCACGGAAAGCTAACATTGTGTCCGTCTATTCGTCCGTAATGCATTGTGTGGTCAGTAATGACACGGACTGAGATATCATATCTATGTCAAAGTCCGTTGTAATAAATAATAAGTTAAAACTCCATCATACATTGTAATCTGCCTAAAGTAGTAGAAAGTCATGGGAATGCAATTTTCACGATGGGAACATAACGTTTACAGTCAGTGTGAATGTCACATTGTAATAGCCATCATGTTATAGTGTACACTCGTACGACCAGGTTAGTCATATCAACACGGTAATATCACGCTTTTCTTTGGTTGTCAGAGTGCGACACTACAAAGACAAAAACACAAGTCAGATAGGGTAAAATGTTGGAGACTGACGAAAGTTCCACAGGAGACGAATACGTGGTTTAAACCTTTATGTAATTTCTTCAGGAAAACCACAAATATGATTGATCACTGCCAGATATACCGCTCATCTGTATTCCACAGTATCATGGCATATGGTTTTCCGTCGAATTTTAATTTCGATAAATTTGATAAACTCAAATCAAATATGAGTAATATGTAAGGGGGATATGCAATATGGTTATTTTGGGTTTCTGATACGGTTCAACGACAGTCGCAGTCATTCAACCGTAACACTCATGATTGTTTGTCACCATTACCTATAGATAATATATACAGTTTTGATTTTGTGGCACTTTAGGTGTCGGGACAATCTTAGTTTAAACTTACGTCTGCATTTCTGGATGTGGAGACACATGTTTTTCATAAATAATTCAATTATTGACTTAAGGGAACACTCTGGCGTCAAAAAGGTCTAAAATAGGCATTAGTTTAGATAAATAACCTTCCATGATCTTAATAAGAGGGAGTGTTTAACGATCTGTCGAAAATAAAGCCGAGACATCTGATAGGGAAATAAAGCATTGAGACTGCAAGCCCAGCTACCATATAATTTAAATAATGAGTTTGGTGACAGTGTACATTTGGCTCGTTATATGTACTGTCTATGGAATTTAAAGTAATTAATCTCTCTAACCCCTATGTTTTATTCATTTTTACTGTCAACTTATGGACTTGCATATCGTTGTTGTGTTTTCTGCACGAAATTAGTTATGTACGAAACACATAATCTGTAATGGCTCCTACTTACATATATACCCGTACAGTTTGGTAGTGTTGAGGAGTCGAAATCTCTGATAAATAATTCAGAACAAAGTTATTGTCTCGAAAAATGGTGAAAGGGATAGAAGAAAATGACGAGGCTTTTGCATGATGACAAATGAAAACAAAACCAAACAAAATGTGCAACTCGATAACTAGTAGCTGGAAACAGTGCCTTTTAGAATCAATTAAGTCCCACCTAAGGAAATTTAGCGACAAAGCGACACTGGAGTGAAGTAACGTTTTGCTTAGTTGTAGTGACAAAACGATGATTAAAGATGATAAAAGGCGGTGTATCCTGGTCACAAAGAGAAAACGAAAGTTCTATCACAATGACATCCTGCTCTTAACCTAATTCAGCGACAAGCGTGCAGAAAGGACTGACAACACACTGTCTTAATTTGAAGTTTATGTAGTTTTAAGCCAGAAAACAATAAAAAGAAAAAAATCCAAAAAGCAAGCAAAAAAGAAAAATGTTGTGACGTCATACTGAACTCTATACGTTTGTTTGTAACACATATTGTTACTGTAATTTATGACACGTTTCATAAAACGCCATAAAACTAATTAATGAAACAATGAAATTCCAGTAATTATCTATCGCAGTAGAGGTAATAATAATACCTAGAGAATGTTGTCACGTGTATCCCGCCCTCTCCGAGATCGTGACAAAACGTACAGGCTAGGACATGCTAAAACTGAATAATCGACTCTGCATTGGGTTTAACTCTTTCAGTAAGTAGAAAATGGATCATCAGTCAATTAGAAAGATGTCCGGTGTCTTACATATCTATACGCATGGTTTGTTAGTAAATATCAAACAGAAGACATGGTTATCTGGAACAAGTGATAAGTACAGAGATAAAAAAGACCAGGTGTTTTGGAAGGGTAAGCATCTTTGTGCCATTAAATACATTTTTCATTCATTGAAAACTTCTACTGAGCAGAGAAACT